GTCCAAGGCTGATTGCAGAAGGCCTGGTGTGAAAGTTGGCCGAGCTTTATTGCGGGAGGCGTCAATTTGCTAAGTTTAGATAGAATTGTAAGTAGCAACTCAATGATGGAATTCTCTAAGATATGGATCAGGGGGGATAGTCATACCATCTGCTTGAGGTGACCTTCAAGTGTTTCTAGTTTTTGCTCAATACAAATGCTGCGCTGATCAGACCTTCGAGTCATACGTAGCATCTGACTGGTATCAAGAGCGCTCGATGCTGAGTACGTGAGAACTCTGTCTGTTTGTTCTTGAGTGATAGCCAACATAGCCCTTAGAGCTCCAAATTAGCGACAGAATAATTTCTTTTTCTTCTAATTTAGACTCACAGATTCAGTATTTGCAGTGAGGTGTTGAGATGAGCTTGCAGCCAGCTCAACGTTTCCAAAAGTGACATCAGCGTATCGCGTTTAAAAGGATACAGTATCCTATTGATCTGTATTTTGGGCCCCAAAAGGCTCTTGCTCGTGCTTTTGCACTTATCCAGCATCTTGCGTAATCTTTCTAGTCCTTCTTGGCAATTAAGAATGGAATCGAGTGCGACTGCTGCGGATTGAGCCGTCAAAGGCGAAGAAAAAACTCGTGTGTTTGCGAGAACATTTTCGAATGTCTTCAACGTGCTGTCAAAACTTGTTATAAGTTTTACGATGGCGTAAATTTGTTCATCATACGCTCTGAATGGCCCGTAGTAACTCAGGAGGCCCTGGCACACCGTGAAGCCAAGCGAGATAACGCCTACCGCGCTCCCAGCTACAGAGAATGGATCGCCCATGTAGAACAAAAACTAGTAGCTTTGAGGGAACTCAACAAACAACTGAATGACAAGGGTTTGGATTCTAGCATAGGGTCTAGACTGACATTTATGAAGAGTAAGGAGTAGACGGTTCTAGATAGAAAGGCTAGCCGCCGATGGTCAGCCGCATTTTTTTCAGCCCAATGGGTCAGTGCAACGCTCGGTGGCGCACCCAAACACATGGCGACTCCGGAGTAAAGTCGCTCCCATCCCTTTCCTTACGTCATTTCAGGTGACAATTTTTTAAATGCAAGTCAGTAGTCTACTGCTAAAATTTTTATTAGGAGTTTATGGTGGCTTTTTATCGTTTTTACAGATCGAGAGCGGTACCAAAATTGAGACCTTCGTTTAGATCTATCGAAATAATTAGAGTAACACAGGACCCGGATAGTCACAAACTAAGTTTGCGTTTCCAGTTTTAGCGAATCAGCTTCTTATACAATGCCCCGTTCCAACACATCTATCGCCAACATACCCTTATAGGCAAGGAATGGTTAGGCAAAAATCAGTTTCAGGCCTAATGACGTGGATCCAATGAACATCAAAATAGGTGAAAGACAAAAACAAAATATCAAACGGGGATCATAGGCAGCCAACCGAACAATCCAGGCTATGTCTCCTTAGCAGCGATGATCGAATCTCAGAATATGAGTGTCTCAGGAGGATCAAAAAGACAAGATGAAACTGACTGTAATATTGATCCACCGCAGCAATATCAATCTCACTCCGCTGAGAAACCAGGCTAACCAAATTAATTGTACACATAGAGAAAGCACGTCCTCATTTCAAGCCAGCCTCTGTGTACTCACTCCTATTGTTCCATCCATGCTTAGTACAGAACTATATGCTGGGCATACGCGCTTAATGACACTAACCTCACGTACTAGTAGCTAATTGGGGCTCACTAAAAATGTCAGTCGCTGCGAACTTGAAGCTTACAGTAGCCGATATTATAACAATTCTTTATCCGCTGATTGATAAGGATGCGTAAAGCAAAGTATTTGCTAGAGGTGGAGATGAACTATGTGGGTGGAGTGGTATGAGGAAGGAAAGGTGAGTCTCCAGGTGTGGGCTACTAAGAACTACGGGACGTCCTTCGGACCAACTACGTCCACATGGTCTGATAGTATTTTTCATCGTCTAAGCGCCCAGTAACCCGTAGATTGTAAAGCCTCAGTGTGCCACCTACCAGATTGGCCCAAGATTCTTGACTCTATATAGATGATTGGGACCTTAGCTAGAGTCAGGTTTTACTGCCACTTGTCGGGGGCGGACTAATTCCTATACAGGGTAGGTCAGGCAGGTTGTTATTCATAGTATTGTAAAGCGGATCGGCGAAGACGGGAGCTTATAGGGAGGTTTGGCTAGCGGAAAGCTAGCTCATACGTCGACATAGAATATCTTGGTTGTCCTTTATTTTAATAATTTTTGGGCATAACATAGCTATGTAACGGGATCATGTGTGGTGCTGGCTATGGATGTGCGTTTTTGAAGTGTCGGTTGCTCTGTTGGATCATGTGTCCCAACATCTACGTGTTCCGACGACGGGGGATCCTTTTTATTTTTGCGATTTGCTAGCGAGCTATTCGTTTCTGTATATATATTTTATATGGTCGGGAGTTTTTTATTACGCGCCTAAAGAGAATAATGTTAAGACTATAAAGTCGATACGTAGGGGCCACGGTAAATCTCTTTTCCGTAGTCAGGTTTTATGAGCAGTTCAGAGCACCCACATGGCAGAGAAAAGGTATAGGACATAAGCGGTATTATTTAAGAGAGAGAAAATTTAGGTGAAAGGCCACGAAAGCACGTCAGCGGTATTCAGTGCATTCGGGTGAAGAATCGAGGGGCTGAATAGGTAGAAGCATAGAGCGGTAAGAGAAAGCCCAGGCGAATCACAAAAAAGTAAATATTTGAAGACAAAAAAAATACTGATAGTGATCATAAAAACACCATAGGGGGAAGAGAGAAAGGCCACCTCAATTCTGGCACATGCAGGATGGTCAGGTGCAAAATAGTGGTGTTCAGGGCATTTAGGTGGAGGACTGAAGGAGCTGAAGAGTAGGGCGGCAAGAGCAATTTCCCAACAAATCAAAAAAGTAGACGAGCAGAAACATAAATATAAAAACATACAACAGTCAGGATTCGCATGTGGTCACCCACCATACTACTAACTGACCGGCGTGTGGCTTAAGTACGGCTGAGCGGACGGGAAGCCCTGTTCTCCACACCCTGTGGTCGTATGTGCTAGACACGTAAAGTTGTGGGATCATATAGGGAGTGCGGGTCGTGCCGCCCGGGTGAGCGCCGCTTTAGCCCTACATCATTAGGGGTGGGAAGGGGTGAGTGCGCTATAGACAGGGTAAGAGACGGGTGAGAGCAGGTGAGAATCATCCGGCGTTGTACGACCCCACACTAACCCTTTCAACTAAGCTGGAGCTAGAATATAATTGGGCCACATGCCTCTCTTGGAAACAACAGATCTTGTAGTATCTGCACCTCGCCACAATTCGAAGGGTTATACCACAAAGCATTTGGTATTCAAGCTTTCTCTAGCGATTAATATTTCCAAGTGAGGGGAGGACCAAGAACGATCTTGCTAATTCCAAAAATTCGACAAGAATTCTTTAGATCTTGTAAGGATATCTTTTAGGGATCACATATGAATCCTGGCTGTTAGGATCCGCATATGCCTGAAGTGCTGATATGGCCTTCCTTTGCTTATACTGATTTCAGCCTCCAGATGTGTTGGGTGTATTATTACTGCTATGACTATCTGGTCTAGACTGGGCTATCTTTTTTCTAGGGATGCTGTTCTAATCATATATTAGGAAGATATGGTGGACCGGTATATTTATCAGGTAGTAGGTATATTTTCTTATGCCTATACAGATATTTATCACATCCATAGGTGTACTACTTAAATTCTAGAGCTCATGTCCTTAGACCAGATGAGATAAACCTTGTGACAGACCTTGGGACCTTTCCTCTTCAATAATCAGTCAGGTTTTCACAACAAAACCACAGCTCCTCTTATCAATTAATTGAACAAACTCCCCCACCGGCAAAATTATAATGGCAAAAATCTCTGGCCCTAAGAGAGCTTATCACTAGCTGATCTAGGCCTATAATAAATTTTATATACCAGAGATAGGAGAATTTTATAACACCTTATATATCAAGCGGCAAGCCTTATTCCCATTGGGTGCTAGATGGTACTAACCAATCCTAATTCAACACCCACCTGACAGTGGTCGTGGCCGATCTATAACTTTAAACCAATGAGTAATCAGTTTCCTTTTTATGGTCGGATTAGTCGGATCCTGGATAACATGCCATGGAATCATTGTATACTCTGTAGCGGCGCGGTCGACCACAGGGGGTCTTCACAATCAATGTTTTCCTTCTTGGTAATACACTTCTTAGCAGAAGGTTAGACGACTTATCATTATTCTTTCGGGCCACTATCGATCTGTAGAAATAAATAGACCTAGGCTGAACTTGAAAAAAATCAACTGAATTGGTAATACTAAGCCTATTAGGGTTGCTTGATTTATGGAACCCATCCCATCCTTAGCCTGCCCAGAATCTGAGTCGTTACTTCACTTTTTATCGTTCACAATCTGACTCTTCCTCTGTTTCTTTCTTTCCCGGTCCAGATTCCCTCCCCTTCTCCTGATTCATACTGATTCATACATCCCTTGTGACCGCCACCTGCCCTGGTAAGCTTTATGATTCTGATATATATTACATGCATTCGCTGAATATACTATTAAAGACCTCCTAGTCACCTTGTCAACTTTCACCTCCAGCACCTCAACTGGACTGTCCCTGCTACCCAGACCGGGACCATTACCCTGACCAAGACTACCCAATCCTTTCTCAGGCTTTCCCCATTGACCCAGCTCTCACACCTGGCTCCCCTGCGTACTCCCGCTTCGACTCTTCACCCGTCGAGCCCTCAACAGCCCGTTCTCCTGATACCGACCTCTTTAAATTATTATCCCCTGTTCTGCAGTCTTAGGAAGTATCAGCAAGCTCAATAAATCTGAGTTTAGAGACGCCTTTCCAGGATTAGTCTGTGTGAGTGCCACAATTACCAGGTTAGCAGCGCTTGCCTCAGTCACATCTACGCCTCACTCATTGAGATCTATCCACCTGCTCAGAAATGTCTACGTCTCCGTTCCACATCTTCGCACTCGTTGTTTATGGAGGCAAGGTATTCGACCTCGCCCTGGCGACGGATTTTGTCATGATCGCGAAGAAGTTTATGGCAGATGGATTCCACCCGACATTCCTGTCAGGAACAGACCTTCATGATATCACAAGCATGTGCGGGCCGTTTGTCTTTGGGCGAGATGACCTACGAGAGAGGGTCCAAATTTACGATAACCAAGAGGCTAGAACACCCTTTTATCAACTTGAGACCGGTGGTCTTAAATCACATATTCTGCACTGGGTAAGAAATGTCTCTCATCACGTCAGCTCTGGTGATCGTATTATCATCGTTTTGATAGGGCATGGAGATGAAAAAGCAGGTGATGTTACACTATACCCCCAGCACGGAGCACAGGAGTTTTTATCCAAAGCTGAGATGGTTGCCACCCTCTCTTTTTTGCCGCCCAATGTCCGCCTCTTGATCGTCAACGAGGCGTGCTACTCCGGCACATGGGCCACAATCGCCCCTGATGTAGGAGCAAATCGAGAGGTGCTAATCGAATCAGCAGCTACCATTGATCAGAAGTCTTGGGCCTATAAATCTGGGTCCGGCCGAAGCCGGTGCTCTCTATTTGGAGCAGCGTTTGTCGAGGAGCTGACTACCTACCCGGAGGGGAGAATATCCCAGCATCGCAGCCGTATAGTTGACGAGATGTACCATGTTGCGCCCGACCAGGAAACGTCCACACCACTAGTGATCCCCTCCACCCGTGCACTTCTATCCCATAACATCTCCCACTTTTTCCTCACCCCGAGAATTGCAACTGCAATCGCAAGTGTGGCCTCTGATCAGGAGCGTTATGAGGCGCTTCTGAAATCGCGGATCTCAGCCCGCACTTTTTGGCAAAGGCTTCGTCGTAGAATAGATCCAGAACGAGAGCCAGCCCAAGCCTTCGCAGGAGATAGTGTGGCAAGAGACGGTACTGGTGCTGATATGAAGGTCCTTGTTATAGAGAGCTACCTGAAGGACCTCGGGCCACTACAATATGCACTTGACTATTGTACCCTTGCGACTGCCTGTCAATGTGCTCTTGAACGCCGTGGACCTCCAGATCTCCAAGACCAGGTAATATCTACTATTGCCTGGCAGACGGCCCAGGTACAACGGGTTGGCCGGCTACTGGAGCATCTAGCTAAGCGGGGATTGATCACAGACATCGTTGACGCGAAAACGGCTAGACAGGCACTTGCGGACCACCAAGAAGACATTGTGCTACCGGTGGTCAAGAGATTGAGGAGAGACAACAATCTCTTGTGTTTAATGAACCCTCCAACAAGAGGCCACATCGGAGTCCACTTTACTGATGCAGAGAGCTGGCTTATTGATATCTTGGCTTACAACTGGCTGATGTACCCGAATAGCGTTGATTTCGATCGTGTGGAGAATGAGGTCTTTGCGTTTTTAGCTTAGTTTATGTATGTCTTACTCTTCTTTCGGCTTTTAGGTAGCCTTACCTGATTCACCAGTGACCTTTATTGTGAGTCTTACCCAATTCGCTGAAAAGAAGCAATGTTACTTCCGCACGGAAGCTTAGATTCAGGTAGCTAGGGCCTTACCACACTCACGAAGTAGAGGGAGACAGGGCGTATTAATTAAAGGAACCCAACGGGAGTACCAAACGGCACTGTATTTTCTTAGAATGGACGCGCCATTTTCTTAGGACAGTACATGTAATGACAGGTATGGATGGAACTCTACCACTACTCTCTTTACCATCATGAATGTCACCCAGTCCCTTACCACTTGCAGGATCCAGTAATTCTGATAGCCCTTGGTATGTAAAAAGCCTATCACTGAAAAGCTCATGTCCATACCTCCCGAGGCGATCGTCCGTATCCATTCAGTCCTCAGCTCCATTGAGACCTTTTGGAACGGCATTTAATGCTCAAATCTATAAATTAAATCGAGCCACTTACATTGATTGAGAATTCCGATTCCCACCAATTTTGGTAGGGTATTTTACCTTCATTTATATTTCTAATTTCCACAGTTTGCGCCGACAAACTTGCGTTGATTGATATTTCTGATTTATACAACTTACGCCAAGCAACTTGAGTTGATTGATCTTGCCCGTTATACTGCCATTAACCTCCCAATTCAAAGCATTCTGCTTGTGCTTCATGATGATGTAGGTTTTCAACATCTTGGCAGCCGATACATTATGCGCGTGAGCCGGAACATTGAATAACCGTGACCCGATTACCCTTCAATGACACGATGCGAATTTCCATATGCGAGTCCGGATTAGACCTCGGCATAAATAGCGCTGGATGGCTAAATCGGGAACTGAACACATCAAGCTCTGCAAAGCATAAGTATATCAGATTCATAGGCTATAGGCCTAGAGTCCCCCCTCGCAAGCCGTTTCCACTCAAGTGCTCACTAAAAGGTTTGATATCAATGACTATCCTTCTACATGCTCTTTACCTGAAGAAATTTACTCGTCGGTGAATTAGAAAAAATCCAACGAATGTTACCCAAAATGAGTATGCGCTCTACCGGGCGGAATCTTTGTTTGGATCTGGTCCGAAGCTTCAAACTTTCAAAAGGTGAGAAATATCATATCAGAGGTGATGTGGCTACGCGGTTGCGGTGCCCCAATTTGGCATATACAGAAATGACGATTATTGGCTTATTCATCAAACCGAATCCTGGACGGGCTGGTAAGAACGGACATCCAGAAATCATCGGCAGATGATCGTGACATGAAGTCGGTCATTCATGGTGACTGTAAGGTGCCAACTACAAGTGTAAACAAGAGGTGCGGAGATGAAGACATCAAGGTTGAGGAAGAAAGAAAGAGAACTACAGCTAAGATCTAATACACATGTCAAGGCCGAGGGCCGGTCCTGTGACCTCCTTGGTCCGAACTTCCTCCCAGACTCACTCAGGTCCAATTCGTTGTTTAACGGTGTTCTAGAAATCAGCCTCAGTTTATTTAATTAGGAAGGCGGTCTGATATGGTAGTATGGTACAGTGCCTACCAACACCAAATGCAAACGGTTTAAATTGTTTATGGAATTTGGAATAGGGCCAAGCTACCTTTTCTTGGGATAAAATCTTTGGGTCCTTTGCTTTATTTATCTGGCTGTCATGATTTTATCTTCCAATGTGTCTACCAGGTACAGGTAACGCGTCGCCTATTGAAGGGATGAATCGCTTCAGGGTGAAAGCCTTCTGAGGTCAAGGTAGCATTTCTTTACCTATAATTTTATAAGCTTGAACTAGGGGGTGACATTAGCTCTAGTTATACGACTCAAGTACATTCGGAAATTCGGGAAAGCCCATATCTCAGAATGGCAGAATACCATTTTTCAACAGACCGTGCTTTTACCTTAAACAAATCTAAACGTACCAAATTTCCTGTGTTGTACATTCTACATGTTACAGTCCTATACTAAGCCAAAATGACAAGCTCCACACGTGAAGGGAAAGAGAAACGCGTAATCAAGTGAACACAAAACCAAAAGGGATCCTTGCTTGCTGAAATAAAAATGAGAAGTACGAGTACCCCCAAAACACCAGAACAAGAGCCACTAAGGCTATAATAATAGAAAGTGCAAGAGAGACATGAGGGGAGAGAATTAGAGGAAACCGAAGGCATATCACGTCTTCTCTCGCAAGGTCGCAATCAAAGTATCCAACGTTAGCTGCGAGTCTGCGGGCCTGGCTGTCATCGCGGCGATCGATAGCCCCGAGGGGCAGGCACAAACTCAAACTCGCCCTGGGGATGTGCAGATGGCAAATTGGTGGAGTTGGCGGCTTTGGAGGAACCGGACATAGTAGAGGTTTTGAGTTGAAATCAGAGGTGGAATCGGAGTTGCAGAAAAAGGAGCGCGCGCACTGATGGTACCTGTGATACCGTGCGCAATCTCTCAGGAATGATTAGGAAAAGACAGTTTTCTATTCTTGATGGCCGCTAGTGCTAACGTGGAACAAGCTTAGGGGAAGGAAGGAAGAAAAGTGAGAGGAAGGGGATTAAGTGCACACGCGCACACGCTCTCCTCCTCTTCCTGGGCAACCACTGCGCCTCTGGTCTTCTCTCCATCTCCCTAGCCGTGTGGCCGTCACACCGCGGTTTGGTTCTTAGTCTATATTTGACAGTCAGGTTATTTCTGATATACTAAAACAGGCTAGTCAAAGTATTTATGGATAGGTTCTTGTTATTTAGCTGTATATTCAGAATATCATTTTTAACTTGGTTCGGCAGAGAACGAGAAGTTTCCCGCTCCCATCTTAAAGTGAAATTGATAAAATTCTGACAGGCTATCTTCTGGGACGGCAAATCTTCCCTTGTAGCAATAAAATATTCTGCAAAGGACTTAAGGAGTTGCGGGATGGGATCAGGCTTCTCTTTCGTAAAGTTCGCGTTGGCTGCTTCGTTACGGGACAGCCTCCAACTATAATGTATTAGGGCTAGTAATGAAAAGATGAATTTTAGCGGGACTGCTCACAATGCCCAGTTCAATGCAGTATTCTCGTAATTCTGGAGCGTAGCCGGTGCTAGCTCCTTATGGCAAATAGTATTTTCTTCTTGTTCCCGCTTATTCTGATAGTCAAGGGTGAACCCACGTGATGCGGCACGAGCGTTTCCCTCGGCGAGCTTTTTCTGTATATTTTCTGGGAGCATCATCTTTCGGCTGAGAGACAAAGATGAATAAAAAATGGCAGGCCTTAATAAGCGCCTCTGGGCTGTTATTTATCTAAAATGGGATTACTACGGTGGGTCCTTTCACCCCGTTCTCACCCCGTTCTCACCTCTCTCACCCCCAGTCTCCAGAATTCTCACTCATATAACCCTCACTCACCCTAACACAAAGCATGGTGCTGGTTTAAGGTTGAGGGCTTCTTGAGAATTTAACCGCGTTTAGTATGTGGCTTAAGTACGGCTGAGCGGACGGGAAGCCCTGTTCTCCACACCCTGTGGTCGTATGTACTTGATAAAACAAGATAGAGGATCATATAGCTTTAGTATGGATTGAAAGAGCAAACGCCCTGGAGCATGCTTAGGGAAGGGAGAAGGTGGAAAACCGGTGATATCTACAGGTGGACACTTGATCCCGAGTGTTCTAACAAGATGATATAGCCTGAGTCGAGTAAAGTGCTTCAAGTTGCAACCCCCCTCATTCCAAGGCTCGTTGGGGCTCTTGCAAATGAGAGTTATAGATGTATATTTGAACTTGGCCCATTTAAGCCCTGCTCAGCCAATCGCGGAGATCCCGAGAGATCTACATGGAGCCTTCGGCTCCAAGCTTCCTAGAAGGCTAGAATCAAAACATACTAGTTCCGACTCCCGTGCTTTTAAAGTCGGGATGACCGCTGCCAATTCCCTCACAATTAAAGAAACGCCTGCAGGAAACCTTGGAATACCACAGAAAATGAATTCGAGACCTACAAAACGCACACGACTTTCTGAATTGGCAAAGTCGGGAAATATCGAAATGGTCTCAGCAGCCGAAGGCTTCTTTGAAGCCCTCAGTGAGTCCTAAGCGCTTGGAATATTAAGCAGTCACTAATCTGTTTTAGTTGAGGCGGGAGTCACTTACTGTTTTGTCAATCTGTAAGTGATCTCTCTACCTAGACTCCCATAGAACCAATTTGACAGCTTGCAGTGGGAGTGATCATCCGGCCATGATTGAAGCCATGGCTAAAGCCAAGCGAGGTGACATGACTCTATAGCTTTTTCTGGAATTGATGTAATGATAAAGCAGAAAATTCGGAAAGGTTTCCCAATATCATCACTTGTCCTTCAGAGATGGTTGCACTGTCAGCTGCATTGGGATTCGCCCAGGTCACAGGCAAACCGGTATGACACTCGCGATCAAAATTGATGTGCTCAATTGACTGCGCCCCAGCAATTTGTTATTATCCTTGTGGACTGCGGTACACTTGCTATGGGTCAATCGATTCACAATGCATCCGTGGCTAGAGTTCCTGTTTTGTGTTTTGTAGGTCTTAGCCCCTTCACCCAGAGAGGCGAACTACTGGGATCGAGGACCGAGTATGGAGTGACGCCAAACTATCAAGAAAAAAATTGTTAAACTTTTGCTAATCAACTCCAGATTCATTCACTGGCTTCAAGATGTTCCAGATCAGGCCGCAATCCTTCGCCAGTATTGCAGATACTCGGCCGAGATCAAATGTGGTCGCAATATTAAGCAAATGGTCAATCGTGCGTTGGAAATGGCTCTTTCTGATGCAAAAAGACCTTCATATCTGATGGCTACACGAGAGATGCTTGAAGAAGTGAGTCATTAATGCATTCAAATATTCGTGGAATGACGTTGTGCTGACAATATTCCGTAGACTGTGGAGAGAAAATGGCTTGAAGAAGAGCTTCTGAGTCCGATTGCACAAAGTGCCCTAGCGGAATCAGGTCTTTCACATGGAAGTTATTCATGATCTCGCTTCACTTACTAAAACCCCAGTAGATGTGGAGTTGATTGCAAAAGCCCTGATGGGTGCCAAGCGGCCACTAGTTATCGCTAGCTACCTAGGCCGTGATGTGCGAGCTCCGGCTCTCTTGGAAGACTTGTGTGATAAATTGCCAATCAGTGTGGTGGAAATGGTTGGGTCGGATGTCTGCTTGCGAAACAATCACGCTGCCTACCGGGGTGTCACTGTCACCACCCACCCCGATGTCCTGGAGGCCGATGTGATACTTATCATGGACTGCGATGTACCCTGGATTCCGACGCAGGGTGAGCCCAAAAAAGGTAGGACCCTCTTACTCCTGTCTCTGAATCATCTATTGATTATTTAGGAACAACAATCTTTCATCTCGACGTCGACCCTCTGAAGCAGCAGATGCCATGTACGCGAAATTCCTCCGCCGTTTTTGATATCTGCTGATAATGATGCACAGTATTTGCCATTAAAGCTATGGGACGACTCAAAATTAGCTGTTACATTGCCCTACAGCAGCTGAACGCTTTCCTAGATACCCAATGTTTAGAGAGAATGAAATACGGCTCATATTTCGAAACGCGATCCGCTCGATATGCAAGTTGGCGTGAACATTTGAGCAGTCTCGAGGCACCCACTGGAGTCAGTCGCACAACGGTTCCATATCTAGCTTCCACGATTCGACGACTTGTGCCACAGAATACAATCTATGTGCTAGAAGCAGTGACAAATGCAGTTCCTCTGATCCATCACCTCAACCTTACTCGAGTAAGGATGTCCCCTCACAAAGTTTGAAATTTCGAATCCCTAATCTGAAGTCTAGCCTGGCTCTTTGGTTGCAAGCGGTGCTGGTGGTCTGGGAGGGGGAGGCGGCGCCACCCTGGGAGTGAAATTGGCAAAGCCGGACGCCTTTATCTGCGCATTGTAAGCTACAAGAGGTATCTAATCCGATAGAAGGCTAACAATATGTAGCGTGGGAGATGGCACGTTCCTTTTCTCTCAAATGGAGAGCGTCTACTGGATTGCCAAACGGTATAGTATCCTATTTCTGTTGATTGTTCTCAACAATGAAGGATGGAATTCCCCTAAGGTATCAACTCTTCTTGTGCATAAAGAAGGACTCTCTTCAAAATCGCACAGACGAGGTGAGTCTAATTCTCTCCCCTGATTGGTATCAAAAATGCTAAATGTCGCCCAAAAGATCTTAATATGTCATTTGAGCCTTCTCCTGATTACTCGGGCATTGCAGCGGCAGCTGGTAATGCATGGAGTGCTAGAGTCAAACATCCTGAGGATCTTGGTGCTGTTATTACTGAGGGAGCGGCGATTGTGAGGGGTGGTAGAAGTGCAGTAATTGAGGTGGCGTAAGTCGAAATCTTCACCTTCAAGTTTATCTCGATTCACTAAGGCTAACACGACTAGTGTTCCGTCCATTTGGGATGAAACTGATCATTGATATGGATGCTCAGCGCTCGACGAATTCACAAAACCCACTTCCATCCCCAGTCTTTTCACCACTTAATATTTTAGATTTTGATCAGACTCCCCTATCTCACGAACACACACTGTTTAGTTATTTGGATCCACTCGCCTGGAATCTGCTAAGTGATGATTTTGTGCTCTGATGTTTTGGTCAATAATGTCAAGTTTTGTTAAATGCTCAAAGAACTAATTACAAATCAGCCTCAAGGCTCAGAAATAGCAGGGAATTCTATTGCTTGGGGTCTCACTATGCATTTCTCTTGTTGCCCTCTAAATTCTTTTGTATTCGCGGTAGTCAACTGGTTGGCCCGTAGGCGGGGCGGGTATAGATAGAAATCGAACACCCAATCCAACATTGAACCCACCCAAATCACAACCCCACGTTTGGCGAGGTCTACCATCAGTAAGTCCACGTGAGATACAATTAAGCCGTCAGTACAGGCCGTTAAAATTCCTCGTTCAACCCGCTCTCAAGATCTCTCAACAAATCCCTGAAGGATACTTTGGCGTTAGGTTGAATTTCTTTTCCTGAAGGCTCAAAATGCCGCCTATGACGCCAAGTTCCGCACCATTCGCTCGGCGGAGGAAGACCACGGAAGCTTGCACACAGTGCCGTACTCGAAAGCTCAAAGTATGTAAAGAAGCGGGAGTTGCACTGGCACCACGAACTTCAAATTGATAATGAGCCTAGTGCGATGGCCTAGTGCGATGGCCTAGTGCGATGGCTTTTCTCCTTGCAAATCTTGTGAGAAGGCTAAAATAGAGTGTTCCTATGATCCTTCTGCCGCGACCAACAGACTTTCCGCGTGCGTCAGGACTGAAACCCGCATCTCATCTAATAGTAGAGCTGCAGCTGACATTCCCAGTAATCTCGATGCTATAAATGCACGTGTTATGGAGCTCGAGCGGGCGGTGTTTGGCGAAAAAAACATATCAGCTCAATCAAGCTAATCGGCCGCCTATGCCTACTGATTCCAAAAGTTGATTCAAATTTAATCGTTTTAAACAGAAACAAGTGCAATTGCGAAAAGCGAGCCCCCGGGTACCATTATCTATGATGAGGCGATTGGCTCCTATGAGTTCTATGGTCCTTCATCCACCATGTCTCTGCTCGGATTAACTGATCAAGCTTTTACTCGGGCGAGAGCCAATGGTCTTAGTAGTACAATGCGGCCTATCAGAAACTGGAATTCTTCAGGGGATGAACGAGATATTTATCTATCAAGAGGACTTACTTGCAAAAAGGCACCCGAACAGGGAATGTACACATCAGGGAAGACGCAATATCACGATGAAGGCAATTGGCCTGTGCAAGAGAGTGTTTGCCGTACACACTTCGATATTTTTCTCAGCACCGTCTATAATATGCTCCCTCTGTGGAAAATGTCAAGTTTACGAGATAAATTCGAAAAGGCTTGTACTGAATCGCAAATGGATGCTGACACCCCTCAATCAACCCTCGTCCATTCAATTTTGGCTCTCGGAGCCCTCCATTCCAACATTTTCGCAAATGATGCCAATTTGGCCGATAGACACTTCAAAGAAGCCCAAAAAATTCTCGGGAGGATACTGTCTCTCAACTGTTTGGAAAATGTCCAGTCCACGACGCTGACAGTAAGGCACATGACATCGGATGGCGATAATTCTCTTGCTAACTTATTCATAGGGAACATATGCCTATTTCACGGCCCAACCGGCTGGTAAGCCTGACTCTATCCCCCAGAGACCATCAACTAAAAGAAAATAGTCGCATACAACTACCTGGGAATCGCGATCAGGATTGCTTTTTCGATTGGTTTGAACAGTGAACTCGCCAATTTTATTGAATGTCCTTCCGATCGCGACTCGGCACTCCGAACATAGTGGACTTTGTACAGCCTGGAATCAGAGCTTTGTCTGGAGTATGGTCGCCCACTTTGCATTCGAGAGAGAGATGCCAAAGCTCCATATCCCCTGGAAAGATCGGTCGGTACTTCCATATGGCTACATGGATATTGCTCCAATCTCACGACTACCGTAGGAATTCAATGCTGGCGTGAGTCGCATCAGTTACATAGTCTCGATGGCGAAACTCGGCCGAATTATTCGAAAGGTGATCGACTTGGTAATTAGCGTCCCTATCTTCCCTCTCCACATGTACTTACACTTTGGGCAGGTATCCGATATCCACGAAGCCAAAGTAGATTCGCAATCATTCGTGGGTCGGATGATGAATCACCAAGCAGAACTGATGACTTGGCGCGCTCACCTTCCAACTCACTTGGCTCCAAAGAACATTGATTCACCAGCGATGGACTTGAACGTATACGGGGATTGTCCTTGGATCCAGTATCAGTGTTGCGATATCTCTCTACGTGCGTCATAGATATCTGCTATTTGAAAATTATCTAATCATTCTCTTTTTGCAGGTTTTAACCTAGTCATGCTCGTGATGCATCGCCCTTTCCTTACGGACCAAGCCCTTTCGATACCGTTTTATTCATTTGCCATGGCCCGGAGCGATTGTCTTAGTGCCGCACGAGAATCAGTTCTGCTCCTTCACAAGCTGTAAGCGGAAACCCCCAAAACTACGTAGTGGTCATGTTACTATCAGCGTCTAGTATCAGCAACACTTGTGATTCTAACGGACTATCTACAGCTTTCAAGTTCACACAATGAAAGAGAAAGCCTTAAACTGATACTCAAAACGAGCAATGAAACATTTTCTTGTATGCGCTCGGATTATTCGGCTTACATGGTTTCATTGATTTCGAGTGCTCTGAGCCTTTCAACAGGCGCAGAGAATATGACCGGCGCGGCGTCCTAGAATCAAGACCAACTTGGAGTCTCGAATGAATTATAATAGTTCCGCGGTCCTAAAATTTAAAGAATATATAGTTATCATTGAGGCCGTAACTTCGTTTCAAATATAGGAAGCCGCAGCCCTTGCGGTCGATAAGCTACGCTAAAAGCGAATAGTTTCGTCACAAAGTGGGACGCCAAAAAGGCTCAGAGTTAAAAGATTCGAATACTTGCGCGTCCCCTCTGCCGTACATCTATACGAACCGGCCACAGTATCATAAGAATGCAAAATGGTATGGCATCTAACCCCCAAAGATGGACCTACTGCGATCGGGATCTCCGCTAACCAACCACTTTCTTAGCTCATGCAATTATCGTCATTTCCACATCTCGGGATCTCCGCGATTGGTCCTTTCAATGATGAGAATGAGAATGGCCCACAATGATCTCCACCGTTTCTGTATTTAGCTGCTTCTGACATGGTCATTGGCTGTTACTTAAGAAGCGGAGGCCGTACAAAATGATTTGAGAGAACTATTGACTCGGCTTGTAAGATTACTTGTAGTCTCTTATTGGAAACCACTTCACTATCTGGTCAAAATGCTTCCTAGAAATACGGCAAACCGACTTAATCTTGCAGGCGAACCAAACAGGAGAAAGGATAACGCTCTTCTGTTTAGACGTGCAGAAGCAAGCTGTGACAGCGAGATTTTCAAGAGTAAACTATCGCAACTCCCCCTGCGTATGTTGAAAAATATCTGACTTAATGATAGGATAATAATAACAAAGCACTGGCCAAGAGATGGGATGGTAAGAATGATAGGATGTTTTGATACTGTCAAACTGGAACTAAAGTTTTCTAGGACTGTTCTCTGAGGAGGCTAGGAAGAGGGAGGTATGATGACATGTAGCGTTCTGAAGTTTACAATATCATGTACTGACCTTTTGGTATCTAGCCATCGAATATCAAAGCCGTTGCCCGGGCGGCGGCGGCGTAACCTGGTCAGATTCATCCACATACCGTGCTCACTTGTCTCAAACTGAACGATATTGAATTAGGCATAATATCTCTGGGTGCTGGCGCGCCTTCGCCCACCTATTTTCCATTTGAAGCAATTCATGTCAACGTGAAATCCTTGCAAGGTCTTTCCATAGATGCAGGAAATTGTCAATCCGAACTTCGCATGGCTAAATATGATTTCGAGCCGGGCTTGAGTGAATATAGTAAGTATCAGTATCAATTTACTATGCCAAGCTATTTGTCAATTGATGTCACGGTTCTGACTTGCTATTACAGGCTTAGACGTAGCCTTGAGCTATGGCCAGGGAGCCGGTGCTGTTCAAATGTTACGATTTGTGACTGAACATACCAAGGTACGTATTTCTCAGCGTAAGTAGAGATCCAACTTTTTAACCGAAGCTGATGGTCATGTGTAGCTTCTTCATAATCCACCTTATAGAGACTGGGGGTGCTATATGACAGTTGGAAATACTTCAGCTTTGGATTCGACATTACGCATGTTCTGTGAAAAAGGTGATTGCATCATTGTTGATGCGTATACATTCTCTACTGCCCTGGAGACCGTATCGCCTCTCGGTATTCAGACCGTACCAGTCCAAATGGACAAGGAAGGTTTGATTCCCGAAGCTCTCGATCGCAAACTCTCAAATTGGGATGAGAGCAACGTCGGATCGCGGAAGCCCTTCTTGCTCTACATGATCCCCACCGGTTATAATCCCACTGGAGCCACGCAGTCTCTTGAGCGGCGCGAGGCTATTTATACCGTTGCTCAAAAACACGCGCTTTACATTGTGTAGGATGAGCCATATTACGACTTGCAGCTCCCTGCATTTCAAAAGGATGATTCTCTCCGAGACAGGCACACTCGGGGGCTAGTACCATCCTATCTGAGCCTCGATACCGATGGCCGAGTTCTCCGTATGGATTCTCTATCCAAAATTCTGGCTCCTGGCTCACACACTGGTTGGGTCACGGCTTCTCAACAGGTGATCGAGAAGTTCATCCGCCAAAACGAGACATCTTCACAGCATCCAAGTGGGTACTCCCAGGCTATCATTTTCAATCTTCTCAACCAGCACTGGGGTTATTTGGGGTTCTTTAAGTGGTTGGACAAGGTCCGATTGGAATATACGTGGAGACGAGACACCTTTGTCCAGGCATGCCTTGAGTTCTTGCCCGCAAAGATTGCAAAGATCGAACCATCCGAAGCGGGAATGTTTGTGAGTAGCCGATGTGAAACCTCGATGCGTAATAAACGACTGACAAATTTGGTTCACCAGCAATGGATAAAAATTGACTGGAAGCTCCACCCCCTTTATAAGACGGGTGCCGAGCATCAAATCATTCAGCAGGCAATATTGGAGTCTGCTGTCCGGAAGAATGTCTTCTTAATTCCGGGAACAAGCTTCTGGGCCTCCAAGCAAGAACCAGAGTCTGAAATGTTTTTCCGGGCCACCTATGCATCAGCATCTAAAGAGAACCTTATAGAAGCTGCTTGCAGATTTGGAAAAGCTTTGAAGGACGATTTTGAATGAATGTAATGTTTCGAAGGGGGAAAAAAACAAATATCAGATGAGCAAAAACATAGCACGGCATTTCCAAGGTGATCGGCACATAGGGCCTATGATTCGGGCGTGGGCGGCGCGTCGTTGGAGCGCGTCGCGCTATTCAGCGCTCCTTAGAGCCATCGGGCCGGGTTTAATCTATATTAAGGATGTAGATGGGGAGCACGAGATTTGTTAGGTTGATATTGATCGGAATTTACGACAGCGTAGATTGATTCATGTTGGTCATTTAGAATAAATGATTGACATGGCACTCTGACAGAACACGGGTGCAGGACTAGCCCAATTGGGTTAGTTCAAACCACTATTGAATGGAGATCTCTGATTGGTCGAACCAGAATGGATCACATGACCGATCAGGTGATCTCCAGGCAGAATTTATGTGCGTAATTATCAGAATGAGAGAACCAGACCTGTCGATACATCCCATGGGCGACCGCCTACTGCATTAGACATTGTAGTCTGTCAATAAGTTATGTAACTATTCAGGGCATTTAGGGGAATAGACTAAAGGAGCTAAAGACTAGCGCGGCAAGAGGGGGTTTCCCAATGAATCAAAAAAAAAACAAAACCAATGCAAAAAAGAGAATTTTGAACAAGAACAAAAACATACAACAGTCAGGATTCGCATGTGGTCACCCACCATACTACTAACTGACCGGCGTGTGGCTTAAACGCGGACAGTAGTCGGGTGGCTGCAGCCCGGGTGAGAATGGGGTGAGCGCCGCTTTAGCCTGACGTCATCGGGAGTGAGAAGGGGTGAGTGTGCAATAGACGGGGTGAGAGACGGGTGAGAGCAGGTGAGAATCACCCTACGTCGTGTGACCCCGCACTGACCCTTTCAGCTGAGCTAGAGCTGGAATATGATTGGGCCACATGCCACTCCCTGAAACAACGGATCTCATAGTATCTGCACTTCGCCACAATTTAAAGGGTTATACCATGAAGCAATCGGCATTTCTCTAGCGATTAATATTTTCTAGCGAGGGATATTGACTAAGAACAATGGGAGCCATTACTCTAAAGTGTTATCTTGCTACCTTGAAGTACATATTGTCCCATTATGTTCACAACTTTAATAATTGTCCCTGCGTTGGATTCTCTTGCTGTTGTCAGAGTATATCGCTGATAAAACCCGTAAACGCTTAGAACGCCCCGATTCTGTCTGGTACAGCCGCCTCTTCCCCGGTTGTGGTCTTTTCTGAAATGGCCGACGATTTAATGTACAGCGGTGAAAGTCAATGATCAGCGCCCGCCCAAGTTCTTCTTTCCAGAGAACATTGCCAGACCGAAGGCCCTCCTCATCAATATCACACCAGAGGTCCTCATGGACAATTCCCAAAGCTTTGATTTCATTCTCCGATTTACGAATCTCTTTACGAAGCCATGGCTTCAGTTCCATCGTTGCTAAACTTTCGCCTCCCTAGGCCATGATAAGCATGTGGCGAATATCTCCAGCCCCATGAAGAAAGTAAATTTTCGTTTTCGCTAGATCGATTGTACCGAGGAAGATTGGTTTCTTAATATTGTGTTTAAAGTATTTTGGTAGTGAAAATGCTGACGATGGAGCCATGCTTAATGCGAATGACAACAATTTATCCTAAGGAAACATACCTCTCAAGTCAAATCTGTTATCTCCTGCCTTCTGTCCCCTATATGAAGACCTGCCTGGATGAGAGCCTCTGAATTGATTCCCTGTGAGTATACCACCAGACTTTGAAGACGATGAAAGCGACTATGAGACACAATATTTGATACTGATGTTATGTTCATTCTTTGCAAGCATTGTTATCGGACCGAGGTCTGCCTGCCTGTAGATAGCACACACCTCGGTGTTCTCTCTTCTCTTCCTCTTCTCCTTATGCCACTGCCGCACATATGTAGTAGTTCGTTCTCCTCCACAATTTTATAGCAAATGCAACTTTTAATATCATTTCCTGGAGAGTACCGTTCAGTCTCCAAACCATTTAAGATACACATGTATCGACAGCAACAGCTTGAAGCAAAATACTGGCTAGGCTTAAATCCTGTTGCTGGAAAATACCTTAATAGGTAATCTTTGCACATTGTATTTCAGAAGACTTGGTGTAAATCATTGATAACTTTATCTCCCGTCTTAAATGCGCAATCGATAGTAGTTTCAACTTACAAGTCACGTGATTTACTGCCCAACTCCACTACCCCTCACAATACTCCCATCTTATGCCAGCTGCCCCTCCTGAGGTATACAACATTTAATTATTTGGATGAAGTTACAATCCATGTCCTTTTCATTACATGGTATAGATCTGTGGAATTTCAATGAAATAGAATCTTTCAGTTGTTAACTCATTAGGCCGATGTTGCCTTTCATTAGTGACCGTCCCGCTAATCTTGCGTTCCTAACAATATGAACCCAACCAAACCCCTCCCGTCGTCCGCCGAAGCCATTCGAGTCAAGATCAAGTCAATGATTCCTGAAATATCCGAGGAAACTGAGAATCAAGCGGAACTTCTGAAAACGGAGGGGAATGGGAATAAGACGTATGGGGGAGAATCACTCGCGGAGCAGATCTCTCTTATATCGAGCCAACTGCCAATCCCAGATCCAGAGGTACGTCTCGAACCTTTCGTAACCTCCGGATAAAAGGCAGAAGATTGAGACTAATACTTTAGTAGAACTGGGGTTGGCGTTTACTTTACTTCGCAGTTCCTACAACGGTTGGAACTGCAGGAAAGAAAGGGTTTCTCATTCCACTCTCCGAGAATGTCATGCGCGAAGGCACCGTAGGAGAAAGCTTTTATGTTGAGACAACAAATCCAGAGATCCGGATGCATACGGCAGCTATATTTTTTGTACCTAAATGATCTCATGTAATAACACTATCGTTCTCCGGATTCGAATCAATAGACCAAACCGATCCTTATGCTGCGAAGGACGGCAGTGTAACCGGATAGTGACCATTAATCATATGCTGGTTCTGTGTCATCATTGGCATAGCATAAGGACCATGCAGTATCGATTCCTGTCTTTCCACAGCTGGTGTTGATTGTAACGGATTTTGTAATTCCATATCCGATGAGTGAACAAATTCCATTGGTTGACAAGCTTCGTGGAATGTTCCCATGCCGCTAGTCCCAAATTGCCCCTCAGCCGGTTCGAAGGCCTGCGTTTGCGGAGTCGGTTGAAATATTGGCAGGATCAGGTCATGGACATCGGTTGTTGCCATATGTGACTGTCCCCCGAATGATGCGTGCTGCATTTCGTCATGGACATCGGTCGTTGCCATCTGTGATTGCCCCCTGAATGATATTGGCAAAATCAGGTCATGGAGGTTGGTTGTTGCCATCTGTGATTGCCCCCTGCATGATATTGGCAAAATCAGGTCATGGAGGTTGGTTGTTGCCATCTGTGATTGCCCCCTGAATGATATTGGCAAAATCAGGTCATGGAGGTTGGTTGTTGCCATCTGTGACTGTCCCCCGAATGATGCGTGCTGCATTTCGTCATGGACATCGGTTGTTGCCATCTGTGATTGCCCCCTGCATGATATTGGCAAAATCAGGTCATGGAGGTTGGTTGTTGCCATCTGTGACTGTCCCCCGAATGATGCGTGCTGCATTTCGTCATGGAGGTCGGTTGTTGCCATCTGTGATTGCCTTTCTTCTAGCGGCTCTTGCTCTACTCGGAAACATGGTCTATGTTGAAGTGTTTGACCTATATATTTGTAAGCTGGGTTCCTATGGGCACAGATACTATCTCACCTACTTAAAAGAGAGTCAGGTGATTGGCTAATCATATCATTAATCGATGTCGTGAAGTTGGTCCATAAGGAAGTAAATATTCTCGGGGCGAGTGTATCAAAAGTCGCTTTGTTTTTCAAGTTGGAAATTGCACCGTTTCTTACTATCTGCTGAATTTTCTCATCCCTATTCGGCCCAGTAAGGTTGATAGTTCTGATGCTGTAGTCTTGTCAGCGACCTAGACCCGCCAGATTTAGGGGTTGACACACAATTCGTCGCTGCAATACTCGGGTAGGCAAAAAATATTTCCTAGGTGAGAATCTTCGCAGGTGACAGAGCTCCCAATGTCGCGACATAATAAGTCAATCCTCCGACCGAGATCAACCCATCGAACAACCTTGAGTTTGATGTTTTCGAAGTCAGAAGTACTAGTACTAACCAAGCCCGACCTTGATATGATCAGTGCTATATCATGAACAATATTTGAACGCATATATTCCGACCCAAGTAAGTCTTTGAGTCGGTGAAATGCTATCTTAAGAAAACGCCCCCGAATTGAGTCGACAATTTGACGGCATGTCAGGTTCTCGAGATACAGATATATCCGGGCCATGAATTGGGCACCATGTGATGGTGTGTAGTCCATTGTACTACCAGTTTCATGAAAAATCGAGGATGGATCTTGTGTCCACTGAGGAAGGTATGCCGCTAAAGCCCCCGAAAGATTTACTAGTTGAGAGGAGTTCGATTTGAGTGAATTCTTTTTTCGACTGTGGTTTTTGGATGGTCGACCAATGCTTCTCCTTGTACGCTCGGGAACTTGTGTCCAGAGCTCTCGAAAAGAGATAACGAACTAATCAAATTTAGCAATATCGTGACAAAATGGGGATAACATACCTCAGGTTGAGAAAACAATGCATCGATATCGATGTTCTGGGTTCTATCAGTATCTTTACATGCCTCTGATAGAATCTTGATTATTTTCTTGACATGAGATAAGTGCATAATGGCCGCACTCAGAGATACAATGCAGAGGTCTAGTCGCGATGTTGAAGAAACATTTGAATGTGCTTGTCGGTCGGGAGCCTTGGAGATTCCCTTGTTTCGTAACCAAGCGGACAATGCGTAGCGGCGCGGCTACAGGTGGCAAATGATTGGAGCTTATGTGCATAACGCACGCACGGGATGAGGCGGGGGATGAGTGAATGCCATCCAATGGTATTTTGAGAGCATACTATAGTACTCATAGTCCAACTCAGCAACCCTGTTGTTTTCAAAACTACCTCACGGAAATTTACACAATGTGTCGCTTATTTAGCGTCGTTTGAATTTCAATATGAGAACACTTATTGAAAATGAAATACACGCTAGTATAATTGGAGGTCCTTCGGAATAGAAATCAATAATGAAAGGATTCATAACTTTGGAATACGCCGAGGACTTCTTTTGCGGTAGCAAATTGCCCTTTCCAGCAGCCTAGTATAATATCACCATGCCAAATACCAGTAACATCGGGAAATTGCTGTGCCTTGTACCGCTCTTCAATCACATGATCAATGACAGCATGTTGACGCCGAATCTGAGCCTTGATAGCTTCGGGATCGTTGGATTCGGCTAGATTCAATTCGCTGAAGGGAGCGGCACCAGTCACTAGCTCATATAGTGTAGAACCCAAAGCAAAAATGTCAGAAGCTTCTGTGTTTGGAAGGTTGTAGTCACGGGGTAAACAATGTGACGCCTTTTCGTATCCAAGTGCTGGATGACCAGGACATTGAGAAGAGTTAAAGTCACCTAGGTGTAAATCAAAATCATTGTCGACAAAAAATTGGCGCAAAGCTAGGTCCGAATGAATCACACCAAATGAGTGGATCACAATAATTGCGTTGATAATCTGGCCGAACCACTTTGAGCGAAGTACAGGGGTGATGCCATTTTTCTGACAGTAGGTAGTAAGATCCCCATGTGGGTAGTATTCAATATCAACATATTGAACATCTTGACCTCGAGACAGGCATTTGGCAATACGCGGATGGCGCCCAACGATTTCATAGATCATAGCTTCACGACGAATGGGCAGGATTGCATCTTGATGGTTCTTGCGAGGCATTTTCCGAATAATCCTTCCTTCCAAAAGCCAGACCTCAGCAAATATACCAATAATCAAGAGTTGCCGTTTGTTTTGCGATTCGATAGAACTTTGCTGAATAGGGGCGGCATTATAGGTAGGGGATGAATAGTTCACCTAAGTTATTTAGGATATCGTCGTGGAAGCAACCTTGGAAGTGGCAGATCTCTTACTTACAACGCATTGTTCCTCACCCCCTTGAACTACTCGCGTATCATAAAATCTGTTTAAGATTCTTTGAAGTGGCCAGGTGACAAATATATATATGGCAGAAGTGAAGCGGCAAACCCAGGACCAAATTGGCCATATAAACCGATTCCACATTGTAGGCAAACTGGGAAGATGTTGGGACTTGGAGGGAGAAACCAAATATATCTGGATGGATTTGGACCCGAATCTTATCACGTGATCCAAATCACTTGTCAGACCTAGGTAATTAAAATACGGCCCCAAGATGTCAGAATTTTACACGGACACACATTTGTGAAGCCTCGTCCCATTAGGTGTTATTCTGCTGAATAATCTGATATTTGACATCACTGAGCAGGGTGTGCTCAGGCTAGACCTTTGCAGATGGGTCAGGATCTATCCCGTCCCGAGGTCCCATTGGGACTCCCACAAAATCCCACTTATGTAAGTAATGGGACCGCCACCAGACGGCCCGGGGGATTTTGTGGGACGGGATGCGGGACAAAGATTTTGCTGCGGGAGTCCCATTTTGCAAAGGTCTAGCTTAGGCTTACAATAAAGTCTCTACTAAATTAATTTAGTTGTTAATGCCCTGGGTATCAGTGCTAAAGGGAAGCACGAAACTTGCTATCAAAATTGGATTGCCATCGGGCCAAATATGCAGAATGTCCGATCGCCAACCAGATACTTGAGTCAAAAAGCTTTCTTCCATCTAAGCACCGCAAGGGTCCAAAATCACGTAACCATAAACATACTATACCGCCCTTGAATTTCCGAGATCACGGGATAGTGAAATGATAACGAGTATGTAGTCCTGAGTGGCACGATTGATAATAGACAACTTTAACTCGTATAAACTGATACAGCTGTCATACACCTAAGCAATATCCCTAGATACATATGTTGAATATTAGATTTCCCTCCAGTCACACCCTATGCATACAGCTACTTCCACTTCCAATAGACAACTTTAACTGTCATATACCTGAGCAATATCCCTAGATATGTTGAATATCAGATTTCTCTCCAGTCACGCTATACATGCAGCTGCTTCCACTTCCATAATCCCTCCATAATTTATCACTTTCTCACTATCGACTAATGTTTCAAATTCGTTGATTTTCAGTCTTTCTGGTAGAAGCAAGTGTAAATCCTTGCGCTGTCAGGTGCACGTCATGCAAGAAAGGGGATTTTGGACTACTACCTGTAAGACACAATCATTTTTTTGCCCAATCTGGGAGGGTCTTCTTCTGCCGACTAGAACCAGAGACAACAAGTTTGTAGTTTGGACAGTCTTTGATGATCCCAGAAGCAGGCTTTTGGGGGCAGTAGTCGAACTCTGTCTCCTCCTTTGTCACTCCGGCAACAATTGTAGTAATGAGATATTCGGTACACATAGTTAAAAAACCTTTGGAAGATAACTGTTGGGGATGTGTTTTTTGTTCATGGCCGGGCAGGTATTTATAGTTCTCACCAAGGCGCGTTTAATAGTGCTTAAAAGCCACTTGGCGGATTGCTCTAGGCAGACTGTCTTATGAGCTAGTTTTTACTAATTAGGCACTCCGGTCGATGATCCCTGCAAGCCGAATCCGAATTAGTCGATTCTCTTTGTGCACAAAGAGAATCGACTAATTCGGAAACTAAAATTAAAACGCCAAATTTAAATTGATCTCTCGAATGTGAATTATAATATTCATCAAATCTTCGAACTTAACTCCCAAAGACTTCCAAAGTTCGATTTTTTGAACGGCAATTGCGCATAATGCAAGCTCTATTATTTCTCTTTAATTTTCAGTATTCATTTACAGATATTTTTGGTCATACATTATTTAATTGTGTCTAAAGTAAAAGAGACGGTATAAGTAACAAGACCGGTCAATATGAGACCTCTCATCTTCCCAAGAGTTCTATCCAAGGAGTTCTATCCAAGCACTACTCCACTTCCAAGTTCAAAAACGTATGAGTTTATCTTATCACGTCTTGTAAGTAATATCGTGCTCTCTAGTGGTTATTTTACTGAGACGAAAAAGATACAAGATGTGTATCTATACCATCTATATTTATCCCTCCTGTTGTGATGATAATGGAGTGTTTATCAAGGAACATCACTTCTGGAATTGTCGGAAGAACGGATGTTCGAAATGGTGCCTTCGGCCTTTATGGCAGTTGGATGCATGTGGAAAATGCATCCATTGTGGCTATCTAAAGGATGTAAATTTTCCCCTCCTGGTAAACGCTAAACCGTATGGCGGGAATGACGAGCTGTCGGCCTATTTGATTTCTCGTGGTCTTGCTGAAGAATTCGATATGATGTCAAACAAACAAGCACTTCAAAGTCAAACCCTGGGAGAAGCGTGGTGGACCCTTGTGACCAGAAATAGAGAATCCCCCACGGAGTCATGTACATAGCGAGAGATTTTCAAGTTGTATGCGAGTTGATGGGAGTGTGTTTAATACAACCTTCGGTCTAAGTTTTCTTCTCAATTCCGCCGAACATAGTAAGATCTGCACCGTCTTCGCATGGTGTGAACATGTTGTGATTCCGTGCTTCCAAGTATGAGCCTGGCTCCAATAGTCCTCTCGCATTTAGTAAAAAGAAAAAAAGAAAGGAAAGGATGAGTAATAGAAAACGGTCTTTTCAATTGCGGCCCTCCAAGAAGCCGGAAACAAAGTTGCGTGGGGTTCATAAAGTTGAAGGTTCCAGATGTCCGACTGTTTAAAGAAATGCAAAATCTATAGATCCTGTTGGTCAATTTGTCTGCAATAAACATACAAGGGATACATCAAAAAAAGAAAACAAAAATACGCAACTGGGATCAGAAAAGGAACTACTCACGGCCACACCACGGCGCAGTGAAGGCAACCAGAACGTTCTTGTCACCACCAACAGTAGCCTTGAAGGAAGCGTCATCCAGGATCTCAGTGTTGCTGGCCTTCTTCTGCGCGGAACGGGGCTTAATACTGCGCTGTGAGTTGGATGCCTCATTGATAAGACGCTGAGCTTCTGCCTTGTTTTTTTCCAGTTTGAGGAACAATCTTGACTTACACCAATCGGAGTGAGGCTCTTTAAGTCGATAAAGTCACTCAGTAAAGCTGTATCAAGGCAAAGTAAGATGCGGACGTGCAAATTGTCATCAAGAAAAAGGATACCGGCGAAGCAATCGCTTGTGTGGAAGCAGCCCTTTCCAATGGAAAAACGGTCTATCAGGTCGCAGTGGCTTGGGTGACGGGCAATCATTTCAGGCATGGGTCTCACAGCATCTACCGTCACTTCGTTGGGATTTGCTGCAATAATGGCATAGCCATCAACGATACTGGCCCGGTAGGCGGGTACCATCTCGGTGGCATAGACGTCATGTGGGACATATTTTTCAACGTCTCTATAGAGGGCCAGTTTTCGACTCCATAATTCGGGGTTGAGGATCGTTCCGCGCCGTTTTATCAATGACTCTGCCCCTAGGAACATGTACTTTCAAGTATATTACTATTTTTGGTTCCAAATGCCCCTTAAAAAAAGTTTAAATGCAGAGTTGCGCTCAATCTTCTTTGGTTTAGCTTTATCTAAGCCCTACTGTTCGTTTTGAAGTAATGAGTAATGGTGTACGTAGCTCCTGAGGCATCACCGGGAGTGGAGTTGCTTTATATACTATGATCCGAGAACAATGAAGGAAATTGCCAAAATTTGAATAGTGAATGAGGTTATGATTCCTGCTGATCAGGTCAAACTCTTATAAATCCAGATTGACACCACAATTCCCCAATCGCCATCTGGAGGCATAAGTCATTTGTAAAGAGCGAAATTTTGAGCATGGCCCTTTAAATATTGATACCGTGGACTTGAACCCTCGAAATTATTCTTAGGGAAGACCAATATTACAAATTAATTGATCAAGCAGGAGATCTTCGGCTTCATCAATCCAATGGAACTTAAATTGACCCATGAAGCGTCTGAGTGGTTTGGTAGTAATATTCTAAAATATCGGAACCCGGAAAGCTTCTTTGTCTTGGATCGGTAAATTTTAATAAAACATTTAAAGGATTAGGATTTTTTCAAGTCTGGTGGATTAATATGATATATGTATATATATATGTATTAATTGATATTCAAAATTGAATATTTAAATGTTATATAAACCTCAAGTTATCTAGATTTCAGAGAATAACATTGAAGATTGTTACAAACATTATATCATTATTATGGTACTTACCTAATAGTATTCGATTTGTGTCCGCACCCATCATATACTATGTAGATGTATGTACTAGTATATATTATTGCAGGGTTATATTATTATTACTATACAACCAGTTGACGCAGCTGTACCGTGGACGGCCCGGGATCTATTGTCACTGGCACCTGCCCTGCTGGCGGGACTTATCCCAATAGTGGATTACGCGGATTTTTTGTTGAACCCTTCTTGGAACTTGGAGGGGTCTTGTTGGGTCATTCAAATGTTGCATCATGAGGCTTGGATTTGCGGGACTTAAAGGGTGCTTCACCCAAGTTTTTGGCAGATTGGCGCATCCTTAATTTTTTCATTGCTCTGGATCCTGGAGAGGGATGTATGTCGTGCAGTCCCGTCTCTCACTCCGATGTGTTGACACGAGTGAACTGCAACATATCATAGCAGAGGAAAATTCAGACAAATGTTGCGTATAACGAGGAATAGAGAAAATATATATGATTCTAATACGACCTACCTAAAGGGTGACCGAATCGAATGGATGGATGTGTGACGCGGATCAGTGTAGATTGTCACATATATTAGATACTTCCAAATTCGACCGCTTGTTTCAAATACGTACGATAAGAGGATAAAGATACATTAAAATTCATACTATAGAGCAAGAACTCAACTCGTAGCCTTGGAAAGTGCCATTTATTGAAAGCTGGCTTACTCAACCTTTGCATTATGCTCAATAAGTAACTGACAGGCAGCTTCATGTTCTTACGCTAGGCATAAAAGCGTTCTACCCAGCAGGTCTCGGGTATTGACATCAGCCCCATGCTTGATCAGGAGATCCAGTATTTTCTCATCGCCTTGGCTTGCAGCAAAACATATCGAGAGGTCGCTCAATCCATTTTTGGGAGTCAGATCCACGTCATTCTCGAGGAAAACTTGAACAACGTCCACATGCCCACATACGATGGCTAATCGAAGTAGAATGGCCCAAGTGTCACTGCTTGAGGTAACATCAATTGTGTTCTCAAGAAGTATTCGAACCAAGTCTGCACGCCCCTCTCTGGCACGCCGCGCTAGAAATGTGCATCCAGTTATATCTTCCAAGCCATCACCAGCTTTTTCAACCTTTATCAGATATTCCACCACAGATTTAAGGCCGGATGAAAAGGCAAACTCGAGAGGATCCCGTTTGTATGAGCCACAGAGTTGACAAGCCAAGGGTGTAATAGAGTCATCGGCTCTGATGATACATGACTTGAAATGCGTCGCCCAGTTCTGTTTAGAATATGCCACGAGTGCATTCAGTTTTTTCTGTTTGTCTGAAGTCAGATACCTCACGCAGACATCTGCCAGCAGGCGGTTAGAGACCTGGATGTCGAAGGAACCCTTCCATGTAGGAGTCGTAGAAACATCGTTCAAAGGAGATGGAGATGGAGATCCGATTAAAAACTCCCTGGCAGTTTGATGAAGCAAGTACAATCTTGAATGAATGATGACTACAAAGAGACCGCAGATCTCTCGGAGTGTTTGTTTGAAATCCTCTTCAGACTCCAGGTAGTCCTCGATGTCCACGGATTCTTTGAAGGCTTGATCGCAAGCCACTATCAAAGCCATTTCGCCCACCGAAAGTGGACTCTCCGCAGCCAGAATTGCATGTAAAATCGTTCTCGCGCGCTTAGGTGTCGGACTTCGAGTAAGTATCTTCTTATACGCGTTGTCAACGGTAGCAGGAAGTTGATTTACTACCGCATGAATGTTTCCTTTGGTAAAGCTGGGGGTACTTCTGATCACATCTATAGTCAAGGTGACCCAGAGGTAGGTGCGGTCAACCACGGGCAAAAGCTCATCGATCAACATCTGTGATTACCTAGGGCTCAGAAGACGTTCTCGACAAATGTCCTCTACCCGTTTCTTAGTAACAAGGTTGATCTTATTGGAAATTTGACCGAGCTCTTCTTCGCCCTCGCCACTGAGATAAACTCTTGACAAGTCCTGTTGATTGCCTTGCATTTCTCGATAAATATCAAGATATGGCCTACTTGTGATGAGGAATTTCATGTTGCCGCTTCTCGGACCACCCTGTTGGAAACAAGTAACAGTGTTTATTAATTGATCCCGACCGTCTTTTTGACATTCATCGAGAGCGTCTAGGATAAAAGTTACCTCTCCTAATTTAGGATTGGCCATAACACTCATAAAGATAGACCAGAGATCATTGAAGGATTTGATCAAGCGTTTACCGTCCGTCCCGAACTTAGTCAGGATCGATTCCCGTAAAAGATGTGGGTATGACAAAAAGATCTGGCGCAGAATCGCACATACCGCACTTATCGCGGTGTTTTGATCCGAGAAATCATCCTTGAAGAAGAAGTAGCATATTATGGACTCCTTCAGGCTGGGAAGAAAGTCATCCACGAGATACCTGGTCAGAACAGATTTGCCGCACCCAGGATCAGCGGACACCTAAAGAAGACTAGAGCCCTCGGTTTGATGCCAATTCTCGAATAAAGGATGATGAGTGAACCATTCACATGTACCAGGAACTCGAACATCGTTTCGATCCTTTCGGTCTTTGTATGGGCAGTTATACAGAGCACGCAGGAGTTCGAATGCCTTTTGGTCGCGATCTACGATGATTTGACGGGCTTTTTCGTCACTTTGAGTATTTTGGATCTCGTTCAATTTTTGATCGACATTTGCAGCTCCGATTAATTGTGCATCTTTTTCTATGTTGGTCTCGAGGGAATTCATGCTTCCCAAGATAGCACCCCATCCATTATGTTCGAAAGCGTCACTTAGAGTCCGGATGAAGCTATGTTTCCCCATATAGTACAGTGCACAGGCCTGAAATTCAAGGATAGTAGCGTATAAATCGGTCAAGTGGTCTTTAAATTTCTCAAGCAACTCGGCGCGATGCCCCGGTGGACCATGAAAACTATTCTCACCCAAGTGATAAATATCCTCCATGACCTGGAAGCGGCACATCAAATCTGAAGAATAGTCTAATATCTCAAGTAGAACCGCCTGCTGGGTGGTTGCCTGAAGAGCGAGCGTAAAAACGACCGACAGTCCGGCACATGCAAGCGTTGCTGGGGGACTGGCGCTGGCGGCCGTATCAACCAGCCCCTTCACCACTAAGACCTTTTCAAAAGTGCTACTCACCAGATCCTGGACAGCCAACTCGTGGTCGCCGAATTGGATCTTCCATTTTTGTTTCTCCAGTGCACTGACTCAATGTTGAAAGAGCTTGTTCAACTGGGCCTGGCGGGCGGAGGTGCCGATCGGCTGCAGCTCCTCCCTCAGGTCGACGGTCAGCGCTGTGTAGGCAGCTTGCATAAGCTGCAGCTTATCTGGGTTGCTATTTAACCTATCCTCTGCTCTTTGCCAGAGGTTTGTGGTTCTGCCGGCGGGAACTGTCCGCGACTCCTGCGGTGCCGGTTTCTGGAAGGGCTTCTCTGCTTTGTCTTCTGATCCACTCTCGGACTTTTCGATGGAATGAACATCTGCAACAGCATTTTTGGGGTTGCGATGGAGCAATCCACCTATTTTGTGCCCAATGTGCCCTATATTGCATAGCCGTGTGGAGGGTGATCTGAGCTGAGACTCGACGTGAAAAATTGTCAAGGTTGATGCTGAAGGCGGATGACCATGACTCGAGAGAATTCGAAGCCCTGGAGATGAGTACTGTCACAAAACTAGCTGTAATTATTATTGGTATCAATGAATAAAGGTGGACCTCATGTTTACTTCTTCCCTCCTCAATCTTTTGGTTATTGATGAATGTTGACAAGAAATCGCTATTTTAATACAGATATCTACACCTGATATGATTAGAGAAGAGTTGTATGTACCCAATACAACTTGAATTCATCATCGATTCTATTGATGCCTTTCTCTAGTGTTTAATTTCCACCGTGGTTTGTATGTACCAGTCTTATTCTACCTGCTGCTTCGGTACGGCTCCTGAAAGAGGGGTAAGAAGACGCTAGGTATCAAAGGCTATGAGTAAGAAAATCTTTGCCCCTATAGTGTCTGGTATATACTACTGGCATATTTTGGACGACCCACCTATCGTGCTGACTGGCTATATTTTAGCTATCACGTATTCCGCTCTTAGGAGAAAACCTTTAAGGTGATACTCGCATATAAATTATAGTGTACGAGCTAGTTTAATTTACTAGTGCTTACAGTCCACGGTGGAGTGTCCAAATTCTGCCCAGGTGCATGCCAGACTCAGTGCTGTAGGGCGACTTGCAGATCTCTAGGGTACTGTACTCGAACTGACTGTACTCCGCAGAGTACCTAGATATATGCGTAGTTGTTATTGGATATAACCTTAGAATGCCCCATAAAGAGGGAACTGCCATACGGAATACATCAAATTTGGAATATATGTACATATGTATTCTAGTGGAGACGCGTTAGCTACGCCACCTGGGCATCGCCAACATTTGAATACAGATCTAGTATCTGGAGCCGAGAAATTATGGATCACTCTACTCTATGTACACGATTCTTTTTCACCAGGTGAAATATGTCCATCACTTCCAACTGACGCCCTCATTCCTTTAAAAAAGCGACTCAGGATTACTTCATCTCTCGGGTACTCAGTATGTCTGCGACGCCGGTCTCTGTAGCAGGATCTAAAATCATCCCTGTTATCTCGAGACAAATTCGGAGACGACGGGGTCCGGACATCTTGAACATCTCCAATATTATCCTCTATCTATTCCAATCCAGTCATGATGGTTTACCTCTCGCTAAAGTCTCACTCCTTCTGGAAGTCTTAGGTGACTCACTGCTAGAATGGATTCGTATTGAGCGGATGAGCTTGCTCCCTAGCGAAGTAAGTAAATATGATAACGTATTAACCTGGCTCACTAACTTTCTAGAAAGATTGAGTGCGTTGGAGACGTTTGTCGACCCATTTACAGCCGATATCTACCTTGCCACTGGTCTCGTTTATGGCTACTGCGCCATGTTTCTTGATGTCTGTATTTTGCCGAACTTAGCTCTGGTGTTTTACCTGTATCGCTCTTATTGATCTCATCAAGACTAACACATTCATCTAGCTCAGAGGCGATGATGCTTCGTGGCTTGGAATTCCGTTTGGATTTTTTTTTGATAATTCAACGCCACTCGCGAACCTCCTATATGCAATAAAGGTCGAAAATAACCGAAAGATTGTGGAATATCTCATTATGGCGTTTGCTGATCTAGTGGCCCTGGTTGCTGCTGTTTCCGTTCATTTTTACAACTTGAGGACGTCTTCTACGTCACCATCCACCAACATTTATGAGCAATTTGCTGGTCGAATCGAAAACCCTCAAAGCAGATACATGAGCGTTACCATGGCGATCTCAATGCACCGATTACAGGAAGAGACTCAAAACACTAAGAGAGGTATGTTCATATACTGATTTTGAGCTCTTAAATTCCAGAAAAAATGAAACTTAACTCTATCTGAATGTCAAAAAGGTGAAAATCTTTACCCAGTTCTGTCTTAGCTTGCGCCTGAAGATCCAGTCGTCGCGGAGCTCATCGAAAATACATCACGCCAGGCTGGGGAGCGGTTTGAGATGACCTGTTTGTGGATCGGGCATTATCTTTCATGGTTCCTGAATGGTGAAAAAACTCACCTTCATTTCACTGGCCAGCCAGGCTCGGGAAAGAGTGTTTCAACTCAAGTCATTCTTGGGTACCTACGAGACTCATTTAGAGATACTGCCGATTGGCTAACTCTGTCAGTCTCCATCAGTAAGTATATGATCCCATGGCGCTCTTTAAGATGACAAATCTAATACGAGCTTTAACAGATGCCAGTAGACTCCTAGCAGAGAGGACTATAAATTCTATTGCCCGTGCTATACTTTACCAAATGTTGACTCAATCCTGTGGCAACGTCCCGTTTCTAATAGCACTGAGTGAATCATTCGAGCACAGTAAGCTGCTTTTAGACGATAATGAATATGACAACTTTCTGTGGGATATACTGAAACACGCACTGATAGCTCTTGCACCCGAAACTAAAAAAATAGTCCTGGTTGTGGATGGTGTCGAGGAGGCCCTGTGTGACCAGCAACCCTTTTTGGTTAAACTAAAATCTATGCTATCAGGTATTCCGAATATGAAACTGATAACCCTTGGCACGGACCAGCCTATGGTAGAAGAAGGTCTGCTCCGCGTACATATCATGCCAGATATGATTACCAACGATATATCTGTTGTCATTCGAACATTATTCGAAGGCGAGCAGACATGGCGGGGTCTTTCTGAGCTTGATCAAGAAATTATCATCGATCAAATCACTGAAACGAGTGAGGGGTCCTTTTTGTGGGCGAAGCTCGCATTCAGACACACTTGTGTTCAGGAAACCTCGGATCAACTTCAGGAGGCCGTGGAAAATCTCACCACCAACAAACCCAGTATCTCCGACCTGATTCTTCTTATTCTGAACCAAGAGGATGTGTTTATTGAGGCTAAAAATATGCTCCCACTACTGGCCATTTCCCAGCGTCCTTTGCGTCCGGCTGAGCTCAAGATCTTGGCTTCTATCTTGATCGACAAACAAATTGCCCCTGTCAATGACATTGAACATCATGCCTCCCTTTACCAAACCTTGAGTCCTCTTAACGAATTAGTTTCTCTCGCGGGCGATCTGATTTCCCTTGGTCATAGAATGATAAAAGACGGAATCTTGGATCTCTTGTCCCAAAGAAAGTTGGACTACCACGAGGATCCCGATATTGACTTCCTTACTCGGCTCTTCATCTATCTCAAATGTTCTATTGAAAATTCGAGTGAGCCTGCCTTCGATGCACTTGATCAGGACACTGCCGTCACATTGCAAAGCCAGAAGCCACTGCTTCAATACGCTCTTCGATACTGGCCTGCTCATTTCCAAAGCCTGTCTGCTTCCCAGAAGGACAGTACTATTGATCACTTGGAGAAGATTACCAACGTCCTCCTAATGTCAACGACTTTCATCAGACTTCTTAGCACTGTTTGGGACGTGCTATCAAAGCCTGACTGCTTAAGGTACCATGAAACTATGACCGGCCTCTACCGCAAGTCAGTTGGTGATGATCATGTTGTTACCTTGCAGTGTATAATACTCCAGGCATCCCAATATCACCAAGTCGGCTCTATTAACAAAGCCATTGCCCTTTATTATGAAGCAGCCATGCTCAGTCGAAAAGCTCTGGCGAAGCAACTTCTTTTAACATCCAAGTTGGTCAACCAATTCTTAGAGTTGACTAAGGATCAGAGCACGAGCTCCGACACCTGGGTTATACGTTGCAGGCATGAATGTTTGTTGCTCCTTGTAGAATGTGATAAGCTTCAATACGGGGATACATCGGGAGAGTTTATTGCCGCAACAAAGTTATTGGCTGAGCATCACGAAGTACTTGGCGAGGAGCGACAAGCTCAGGAGATCCTCGCCTCCATCAAACCCTCCAGCGCATAATGCGCATTGGAAACATATTATCCTAGTCACTCTCTATATACAAATCATGAACAAACGTACGATCGCATATACTATTTATCAATGGCGCACTACTTCCCGGATACCGGATTAGATCCATAAGCTTCGCCCCCAAAAAACTGCGACGAGCTGAACAACCGCACCACCTATTGACCCACATTATTTGTTTCTTGGAACTTTCAAATGTTCACTTTGCAAATACCTGGCTACATTGAAGATATCTTGTTAGAACACGTGGTCCATAAATCAGACCACGGTTATTTCGTAGAGAGATAGCTCTTGCCGTGTCTGTAGAACTTCCTCTCCCCACGCTTCCACCTATGCACGCATACACAGTTTTCACGCGTAGAGCTTCGCTCTCTCTCTCTCCTAAACAAGTATTTTGCAATTGAGAAGCAGTTTAGTCATTGTTTTTAGCCTCACGAGAGCCCAATAATTGTTCTGTGAGAAATACTTAGGATCTCGATTGTTGCGGAATGGTGCCTATATAGTCTTCCAGAGTCTCAGTATCTATGGGATAGATCTTGTCTGCATCTACTAGCTCTCTGAATGAATATTTGTTTGCTGTAGGGTACGTCTTGATAATATTTATCTTTATGTCGAATAAACTCCCTCACTGTCCCGAGTACCTTAAAACAGCAAACGCATACTTCTGTATATAGGAAATCTATATGATTCATTGATAAAGGAACGGGTTTTTCGGTGGTGGAGGGGGCGGTTTGGAAAGCACTTACGTTGTTGGAAATGCCGCTGGAGTAACTTTTTTGTTGTAAGTGGCTTTAAATGTTCACAAGACGGACAGGAAAAATTTCCGGCATCTTCCTTATGTATAGTATAACAATTTTCGTTTTTGTATTGAATATCCTCGCCGCCCTTGACCATGAAATGGTTCCGACATTGTTTAAGTTCAGCTTACAGGTGCTGTTCGCGAGACTGGAAGAGGTTAGTGAAGGTGGCGTGACTTGTTTTTAGCATTAAGAACCCGGTATTCTTCGAGATGCTCTTGTAAATCAGAATCTGTTCCAAAGAATGTGGAGCAAGCACACTGTGTTTATATCTTTAACATTATTGATGGTGTAGAATGTAGAAGTAGTAAGCTTGGAACCTGCCTACATATTGTAGTGGGGTACCCTGTCCCCTACTACACGTACCGTGCTAAGAATTACCGTTTGGTTACATCTCTGTTTTGTCATGTTTTCAGTCCCGTCTTTGTACGTACAAGAATGCCCGTCGTTATAGTCTAGAATACACACTCCTACACACTCCTACACATCTCTCATCCCACCCCTACGGGGTAGTCCGGCCACAACGTACATGATTGGTTGGTGTTATCCATTCATGCTAGCTGGATCGACCCGTGTATCTAGAATACACTTCCTAACGGTTCCCCTCTTCAATATGTAGTACCTAGGTAGGGCACTTGATTGATTAAAGTTTATATATGTATGATGTATAGAGATCACAAATGTGTATTTACAGGGATTGTAAATATATGTGTATAGAGGTCATAAATGTGTGTCTACAGGGATCATTGTATAATTATTGTTTTAATCGGTTGCCAAGTCCCCATGTATTGCTAATACTCTAACTGACTTACGACACACCTCCACAAATGTGTATATATACTAGTATATAGCATAACCCCATAGACCTAGGCCCTATATACACAAGCGGAAGGAATACCTAGGCATCTTCTAGTATTTAAACTTCAAATATTTGGAGGATTTAGTACATAAAAGGAGGGAGCTCTCAGACATCTATTCATCTTTTTACAATTTCCATTCAACTCTTAGTCTTCTCAGCCACTTCATTCAATTTCAAATTACCTAATATGGAACAGCCTAGTCCAATATCGCCTCCAACCACGTCTCTTGTTTAGGATCAGCCCCTTAAACCCCTTGATACAACTCAATTGAACTAGTTACTGATGTATACTATCATCGCGATGGAGCAAAAGGCCGTTTAGCATAATGGAATTAATCGTCCAATCTCTACTCTCTATGACTTTAAATCATTTGAGAATTGGGAATCCCTACCCTTGTCTAAACAAATCTTAGAAATATATAAGCCAATCAATTGTGAAGGGCTCTATAAAGACTAAACAGAACGATATAGGCAACATGCAGTTTATAATCTAGCTTAGAGAAGAAGGAAACAGAGCATATGTAGGTATGTAAACATATCAGAAGCGGGCGGTGTAGCGGAGCGGGATGTGGTCACGGGATGTGGCAGAATCTGAAAAGATACACTCAGGGCTATGGCCGCAGGCTATAGATCATGCAACGGGTGTAACCCGTTACATCAATTCTCTATTGTTTTTTTAAAATGACTGATATATATAAATTATAGTTGGGATGATAATATATGCCTATACAAGACAACAAAACAAATAGATGCTTTTAACTACAAAGATTATTGAGATCTTAGAAGGTAAAAGTGCATGTTTGATTAAGTATAGAATAACAGTAGTTTATATACAATCAAACATAATGACATAAGTTTGATCCTGAACTATCCGTGGAGGTCACTGAGGGCAAGACCAACATCATGATATCGCGGGGATCTGTTCAGAACTCAAAGCTTATTAAAGCATTCTGGACTTTCTGCACCGACGATGACCAAAGATGCCATTGCAGAGAATCCTGCTGGAAAGATTCCAAGGGAAAGCATGTCGAAGACCATGGATGCTCTTGAGGTAGTAGAAGAAGATGTTAAGTTTTCTTTGGCAAGCTAGTCCGAACAACCTGTCATAAATTTCATCCTTCTGGACAATGGAGATTACATCATTGACATTTGCTATTCTTCGGAAGAATGACAAGATTTGAAACATACACAATAATCTGTATTTCACAAAGAAAACTCTATGTTTTGCCTGGCATCCAGGTCTGGGTTCCGTAGCATGCTAGTAAAACTTCCCTGCTTTGTTTCCACAACCCCAGCCGGTTTAAAACCAAATTTAGAGTATAGCTGAACACCATCGGGAGAGGATAAAACAAAAGTGTGAAGCTCATTTTTGTCCACAATGTCGCAGAGCATTTTCAAGAGCGTAGAACCAACACCTTTCCGTTGATGATCAGGGTCCACAGCCATGAATGTGATCCCTTGAGATAGGTTAATGAGGCTTCGAAAGGTCTGAATTGGTTGCGAGCTTACTACATATTTCATGTCCATGCCATCTTTGGAACACTCTTTGCCTCTCCGCTCTGAGCAGTTTGGAGATGCCAAGCCATGAGGGCACATCCAAAGAAGGGGGGGTCCAGCTGTCATGATGTCCCATCTTCCTGCTCTGCCTTTCTTCGGAGTTGATTATCGAGTCATCTTGGATGAAATTCTGACCATTAATCATTCCCTTTGAGAAGACACCTGAGCAGGTGGTCCAACCTATCAGTCCGACAGGTAGGCCATCTGCTCCACATGCCTTGTATAGCGTTTCGTTCTCTCGATCAATTGCTTCATGAATTCCATCAATTGCCCATTTGATTTCATCTTCATTACAATCCCACTGCTGTTCTGTTGAGCGTGGGAACATAAAGCGACGGAGCGGACTATCTAGGTACGCAGGAAATTCGACCCGTCGTACGAGCACACCCACATCCTCAATTTTAACAGGCGATAAGGAAAATGCCATTTGTTGCTGACTTGGAAGAGGAAGTTTTGATCTTTGCTGGATGTCTTGACGTACAAAGGAGAACAACTCACGATCCACAGATAAGTCACATGCCTCTTACTCAGCCAATAGGGCAAAATCGTTGCTAGCAAGCACGGGAAAATAATTTTTGCCATTAGTAGCTTTTAAAAAACATTTGAGGCAACTAAGCAACATGTAGTAAGCACCTAGGAGTAGATCGCAAGTTCCGTGGAACATTCTGGCCTCCGAGAAATACTAACAAGCCCCAGCCACTTTTTCAATAGTATCATACCAAGCCCTAAAGATCGCTTTGAGGCCCTCGTGTTTATAAGTAAACATTAGAAAACATTCAGGGGATATCAGATACGCTATGTAGGCCCCGCCCCGTCATTCCATCATTTACACTTCATTCGCATCCTTTGACAACCACATAATTTGTTTCTCGGAGCTACAAAGGGTTACAGCTCCCAGGAGCGCTGCTAAGTCCAGGTTGATCCCTAATATCGCCGTCTAGGTAGTTTCTTCTATAAACCGCGAAGCGGAATGACCCCAACCATCTTCTGTGGTCCGTACCACTGTACCAAACTGTGAAAGCACGCTTGATTCACAACCACAGGCCCTAGTTTGCCAGCATCAACTCCGCTTCACATGCTTATTAATCCCTCTCAGAGAATGATCCACCGCTCCTAAAATGACCAGCCGTATTTGTATTGGCAATACTGTGCCCTCGCGGTGGCCGACTGTATCAATGGCCTCTCAATGCAGCATGGGCTGATACGAGGTGAGTATGCGGTATGTTTGCTATTGGCCAGCATCATTGCAGCGTGCCTTCGAGGGTCACTGATTGGATGTGGCGGGACCGGAGAGGCCGACGGTGACGACAACAACAGGGTGGATATGCGACGCCAGGGGCTGTGCAATATAACTTCAAGTCAGGCGAATATATAAGACCACGTAGATTCGAAGATAGCCGGTGACGTTGGAATGGTAAGCAGGCGGGCGGAGGGATCTAATCGCTCAAAGGGACGCCTCGTAGGCCGAGCGCGATGTAGACAGCTTCGTGCTAAGATTCAAAATGGCTTCTACTGGTGAAAAGAGAGCCACGTGCAATCACGTGGTACAACTGTGGCCTGGATCACCGCGATGTTTTTGCTCCCGGGAGCGACTGCATGGCGTGGTAGCCAAAGTTGGCCAGAACAACCTTGGCGTCGGATACAGCGGCATTCGCCGGTGGGAAAAGGGGGCAGTGCTTTGACATGGGAGTCAATGCGCAGGGGTTGTTGGGGGCACAAATGGAAAAGAGGAGATAGCGATGGGTGCAAGATAAAGAGGGGTGGGAGGAAGGAAGGGAAGAAAGTAGAGATCACTGGGGCCGGGCGAGCTCTTATGCCTGAGCGACAGGCGGAGCTTACAGAACGAGGTATTGGGGCGCTAAACCCAAAGAGGCAAAACTAACCGGATACAGTAATTCACAGGTCCGCCGTTTACAGGCAAAAATATCATGTCAGCCAAAATAACGTGATAAACTAGGCCCAATTGGGACGGTTTTAACACGATTAAATCCTGGCTTCTGATTGGCCGAACCAGAATGGATCACATGATTAGCCACGTGATCTACGGTCGCAGCAGACGCTTATTCGTGTAAATTAGTGTTATGAGAGAATCAGACCTGTTGATACGTCCCATTGCGACCGCCTACTGCATTAGACCCTGTAGTCTGACATATCAACAGGTTGGTTTAATCTTTTTTTTTCCAAAAACATTCCAGATAATCTAATTCTGTATATACTCAATAATCACATGACTGACGTACAGTGTCTCTCTACCAATCGTTTTCAAAAGTAGATATAGGCGTGATCAACATGTTAGTTGGTTCAAGATCTCCATGTTTGCTCGCTTTGCATCGAATCTTCTGGTCATCCAGGCTTCCAAAGCCCTGTTTCTTCCGTACTAGTGTCATTAATCCTTAAGCTATCAATGTGATTCCAGACAGACACCCAGAGCATCAGGCAGGCTCTCTGGACGACACAGAGGGGCTATTGACAGATTGCCCATTCCAAGCCCTTTGTGTTTGCAGGGTTTGCATAGAACCTTCCAGCCTGTAAGTTAAGAGTAAAATACTTCTCAAGCTGCTTTATCTCTGCATCCTTGAGATTAAATCTTGACGCGCAGAGAAATAGCATAATCTCTTCAATAGTTTTAGACTTTAAACGCCTACGTCGGTAGTGGCAGATATCACGCGTAGTATTAAAAAGCCGTTTGACACCAGCACCACTCATAGGAATTAATAGAATATCCCAGGCAAGGAGTATAATTATAGGGAAATAGGATTGATTATCATACCAGAACTGGAGAGGCTTAATTTCTACTTTGGATGAGATCGAGACCTTGAAGGAGCAGAGTCATGAGAATTTAGAAGGGACTGAGATTGATTTAATTAGCGAGAATGAGGAGGAGGAAGAAGAGGAGGTTACTGAGATAGCTACTTCTAACGAACTGATCGATCTTGGTGCTGAGAGTGAGGATACTGGGGATATTCAGCTACCTGAGAATGCGACTTAGCTACGGACGTCTGGGAGGAAGCGTAAACATAGAGAAGACAATAACTTTGAGGAATATTAGAATAGATTCAATTCAAATCATTTACTGTGATAACGCTTCGGAGAATCTACCTGTATTAGCTATTCTACATGTAAGTAGAATGCCGAAAATTACAGACCAATTTGCATTAATTATGCAGTCACGAGATTTTTCTCAGTTTGTCCTGTTTACACTAATATGGGGCCCCATGGGTTACCCACGATGGGTTATGGGTTTTTGGCAATAACCCATAACCCATCATGGCTTCCGTACTTCACCTTCCAGCTATCATGACCTATCTTCCATCGATAGAAAATTCGCCACATTGATAATTGGTGACTTTTTTTTTTAAGAAACTCTACTCAAACACAGCCGATTCGGACTTGCAGTCAATATGGCGTAGAAACCAAATGATTTGTATTCGCCTTCATAATGACTTCAGTAGCCTTTCAACTAGCAGCCACAAATTCACAGCCATGGCCCCTTCCAATACCAGAATTGGCCTAAGGAGTCGATCCAGGTGTTGGATAGGAGCATTCTGGACATTGTTTCTCTCTATTCCTTTCCCAACCGTTACCAATCCAATTTGCATCATGGCTCTGTCCACAATCAACAATTCTGATTTCGCTGATAAAAGCTTCGCAATCACGGCATTCGGTGCGCCGAAACGTGCACATCTATGGAAAGGGTTTGCTTTAGTCAAATATTTAGAGTTTGTGGATCTTCACGTACCGTGAGCGGTTCGTAAAGTGCTTTGAAAAGTACGTGGTTTTTAATCTCTCAAGCACTCAGACCTTCCAGATGTCTATGTTCTGGCATCAATAGGAATCTTGAATAAAATGAGTAGTATGACATACGATTTGAGAACTTGAAGTAAAGGAGACTTGAGCTGAGCAATAGTATTTGTTTCTTCAAGAAATGAGCTTGGTGCCGTTCTAGTTCTTATATCTCTAGGGAGCGAACCTGATATATATAAATGGCATAATATAACATATTTCCCCCCTAAAAGCTGAATTACATGGATGGTTGATTTTATGAATTTCCACCAAAATTACAAGTTTTCTGGCCAAATGAGCGGTCTAGGCCAGAATTTGACAGGTCCTTTGCCTCGTTGATTGCCTAAAAGTCGCAAATTCCATTGTTACCCTGCTCGATGTGGGTCATGCTTAATGCGTTTCTTATCTCCCCCGCGGAGTAAGGGCATGGATAGGTTAGGCGGAGAATGACAAGCCAATCATGAGCGAGAGAATCACCCCTGAGGGTGATTCTTGTTCGCCAAACTGTTCAAAGAATCAAGCTGAAACTCTCCATATAGGCATAAAGAGAAAAGGCCACCCCAGCCACCGGAAAAGAAGGAAGTCACACAAACAGCGAAAGACGAGGAAAATATCAAGGTGGTTTCAGAGCTTGTGAGAATGCTGCGCTCCAATACAAAATCTTTCGTTCACGCGGCCACAAAGACGTGTAAGCATACAGAAGAAGATCTATGGGCTATGTGGGTTTGGACCAAAGTCTCTGTAATGGTATTTTGAGTTTTTTTTTTTCTGCCAGATAAAAAAGAGTCGTGGTTGCCTTGAAAATATGGGAAAATATGGGGTTGAGATAATGGCCGCTATGGACCTCCGTAGCAAAGGCAATCTAGCGGTGTATGGTTACTTAATTGTTATTTACAACATTATAGGCAACCGGAACACGCGTAAGTAGATGATTGGCTCTAGAATCTCCCTTAGTCAGCGATGGGATCAAAGTAAAAAGAGAACCTTGGAATTCATGCCCAGCGAAGTCTACCATTCCCCGATCTAGGGTCATCAATCTACGAAATGGCCGATGGAAGATCAAGTTCAACTCAACAGGTAGGCAGGACCTTATTGGGAATATACATAGACCATGGCTCATATCTTTTCAGTCCACGAAAATGGCTTGTTCCGAATATTTCCAGCCGAAGTCAACCCAGGCCATTCCTATTCGCATGTGCATATCTTTTACCAGAGATAGCCCTTACTGGGAGACACCTGAATCCTCATTGAAAGATATTTTGCAACAACTAGACATCAAGTCCGATATCAGCAAGACAGCTCAGTTGTTGGTAACACAAAAATGGCCAAAATACTTTTTTTTGATCTACGACTTCTTCCACACCGACTACGATTCAAGTAGCGCCCACCAACCAGAGGAAAATGAGCTTGATGTTATGAGAGTTGACTCCCGTGGTGATAAATTTCATATTCGAATGGCAGATACGCTTTTTAAAACAAGGATCAATCACGAAGTGGCTATGATTCATAATGTCAACGGTGACGCAGTGCCGCCTTATGTTGACGATCACAGCGGCGGTAACGTGCCAATTTATCTAAATCCTCGAGATACTTCTCTCTTGTGATTGTCGAAATATGAGCCCGTATACTGACTGAGATTCATGAGAAGATATTTGGTCTCAGCATGGTTAAGTCATGAAATTTTGAATTACCAGACTCCTGTTGACTTTTCGTCCTTTCTTGCGCATACACATGTTTTTCCTGATATTTCGATTTGTGTTATCTCATTGCTTTCATAAGTGACATTCCTTTTCCTAGATTGGGTCTTCAAATTTTCCCCACTTATGTTTGGATATTTTTCCAATTTACTATGGATGAATCATCCCCACAACGCCCGGAACTACTAGTTAAGTTAGCAAGGTGGATGGTTAAATCCACCCCCCTTCAGAGGCGAACAACCATTGATCTTGATTCCATATCTCGGGGAGAATGTCGACGATGCGATATTCTGGAATTATAACCCGCTACGGTACGCTTGGAATTAGGTTCAGCATCAATTAAGTGTAATACTATTTTAATACTGTTTTGTTTGAACATAATACCCTCCATTCCATGATATTATTATATATGCACATGCAGATGAGCGGAACCTTTTGTGCACGTACGACGCAGCCTACATATTTTAATCAAGTCCTGAAATTGGATTTAGAGCATATTCAGGGGACGATAAAAGCTCATGGCTTTGATTCTGTTAAGGCCTGGCCCTAGAGTATATGAAAGTATGATCTTTCCAAAGTGCCGCGGCCTGCCACGGTCCACTAGGTATCTAGCCGTGCTAACCCTCTTTCTTGCTGATCCATTTGGACGGCTCCTGGGGCTGTAAAGTCATACCAGGGTCAACTGTAATAACAAGGCTGCCATCAATGCATCTAGTTGTGTAGATAGGGCTGTTGGGGCCTGCTTCCAGGTGCCAATTCACAATTTCTCCCGATTTCAAGACCCAATATTCCTCCTTTGGTGTACCTCGAGGCAGAACGCTCGTCTCAAACTCTTCAATTGCTTTTGCAGCACCTTTGAGTTGCATAACATTCATAGCAGTGTAGTGTTGATGCGTGCGCTTTCCATCCTTTTTAACTTCCATCAAAATATTTGTTGCCGTGCCTTCCCGTGCCACCTGCAGAACTTTGAAGGCTTCCGTCCCACCAGAGGCTGCTCCGGATACTTTTCTTCTCTCATCAGTTCGCGTGAAGATATTGGATATCTTCCGGCGTAGAGTTGGTGGTTCGAGTTGACTGGGTTATTTGTCCTCTAGCGGGGCTTCCATTGTAATTGGAATAAGGGTTTCCTCCTGGCATTCCCAACGGCTTATAGTTTTCTGTCATAATTTCAAGTCATCATTCAGCCATAATTCAAGCGGAACTATCAATGTACCCCCTACAAGTCTAGAAAGCCTACCGGTGACAACACTAGGAAAAGTGAACGTGTGGTAAATCAAGGACAGATTTTATTCAAGTTTCAGCTCCTCTCCAAGAGCTCAAGCGCCCGATTTTGGAATGGCCAATTGTGATATTAATCCAACGATACTAGTTTGATGAGGAGTGAGAGACGATGCATATGTGTCATTTTATACTTATTCTAGCTATCTATGATAAATCAATGTTATTTCAGATCTATGAACCAGAGGAAGGAGAAATCAATACTAGCCTCTAATTTCTTATAGAAGCCGTACCTATGACGAGGAAGAATGGGACAAAGATATACGGATCCATCTTAAGCAATTCCAGATTAACCTTTTGAGTTGATCTATGACTTTGAATCGTTTCAAAATTGGGTATCACCACCCTCAGATCCAGAGCCTGAGGAAACCAATCCGTAGTTGGCCATGTCTCACTAGCGTGTTCAGAAGAGAGTACTATGCACCCCGCCCCCAATATTAAGAGATACTGGAACGGACGACTATGATTTTGGACTGCTCGATGCGTGCTATAAGCCTCCCTGGTCCTAGGCAATAATTTTAATTGAATTTGGGAGAGTCACGATACACTAGCCTGGTTACTGCTAAGCCCACTTAGAATGAAGCCTTGGTGACCTTGACTATACATACTTCTCATTACCTGTACCGAGTATGTTACTCCCGTCAGCCGATGGGAGATAAAACATGGGGTAACAAGTTGTGTCGACCATGATGGGACCGACTAGATCTAGATTGAGCTCTATGATTCGGGCTTCATGGAGCCGGTCTAAATTGTAGAATGTCTCCGGCACTGGATGATTTGTCTCTAGAGCCGAGAACCTGAGATCCTGCGAGTTTAGATGGTCAATGAGTGGGCGAAGATCCGAACTGTTGTCCGTGTTTCTAGCTAGCTGTTCAAGCTCCGAGAGGAAAAAGGAGAGGATTCTCGGAACCATCTAAATCCATGTCAGCGATCTCTAGAGTATATAAGCTCTATTTTGCTTACCTGTGGTTTGTCCTCCATCAAGCTAATAGCCTTAATATCATGCAGTACATCTGGCAAGATACTACGCAGACATTCCGATTTAATATCAATCTACAATGGCTCGGCGTTGAGGTCTTATTATCTCGTTAGAACTGCCAGTTTTGTATCTGCTGAAATGGATACGAACCAACTTGAACACGTTTGCAGATAACGAATGCATCTTGATGGCCTGCATCACTGGAAGCCTCCACCGGCTTTGATATCTTGTACCTGCATGCATGTCTGTCCCAGCTACCTTCCTCTCAGTTATTTACAAAAGTAGTATAGAATTGATTGGCTCGTACATTTCCAAGATCGTTTTAGATGAGGGTGGTGATGCAGAGTTCTTAAACGATTTAAAGTCATATTGAGTCGCAGAGATTGGACAATCATCAGATATCTGATCGACGTTCCGCTCCGTCGCGGTTGGAATTCTAGCGACAGTAGATTGATCGCAAGTGATATCCATCAGTAATTGGTTCAATTGACTCGTATCGACGGCGGGCTGGTCCTGGGCAATAGGCGTGCTTGGAGGTCGTTCATAGCTCAAATCCATCCTGTTCAGTTTGGAAAAATTGGCTGAAATAGCTCAAAAGACTGAGATTAATTTGGTAAATTAAAAAGACAAACAAGTGTCCGAGGGATCCCCCCTTTTTATGTACTGAATACTCTAAAGTTCAAATACTCATAGCCTATGATATTCCTTCGGATCATGTATTAAGTGCCTAGATTCATGAGAATGCACTGTACAGTACATGTACATATGGTATATGGAGTAGCGTCGATTTTAATTGATTGGATAGATCTAAGCATCGCTGGGGTTAGTGGCTACTAACTTAGAGTAGGTATCGGCGACATGTGGGGAGCTCGGCGACCAATTATAACAAAGATCACAGATTTGTGATCCCTGTACCTCCGTATACACATTTGTGATCACTGTACCTACATGAATGCCTTAAATGGGAAATCGGGAACACCAGAGGCCAAAGTGGAGACGAATTTCACGAGGATGGAAAACTTGCTTTCCGGAGAACTTGCATCTTATCTTACCACTACCCCGCAGCTATTTGTGTCTTCAGCTTCAAGCATAGCTACAGTCATGGCATCAACTGAATTTATGCTAGATATGGCAAGGAGGGCTCTCCTCGAGGTGGGATTTTTTGATTTAAATGAATCATCAGTGGGCGACCGTGTCTTAGAGATGGAGAGGCTAGGCTTTCCATACCTCACTGAATATGGAATCGATGCCTTGTGATTCCGCCCTCGCGCCCAGCCCTGGTGCTAAGCCAATAAACGTTCAAGCTATGCATCCCCCTCATCCTCATCAATATCTTCATCTTCACTTATCCAAATTATAAGCTTTTCTGAGCAATGATCTTTCGGGCGCCACGATTTGCTTCCTTTGTATGTACTCGGTGCTTTTTGCGAGGGATTCGGTTTCGGTGCAGTAGCTAGGGAACTTTTCAGGAACATATGGATCCATGGATAGACATAACATTTACCTGTCAGCTCACTGATCCTCTGTTTCAACATCTTTGATTGAAAAATTTGCATTTCTGGCATCTCTAGATCGATATAGATTTCAGACCATTCCCACAGGGATATCGTGTCTCAAGTATTCAAATCCCGCAACCGCGCGGTTAGGGTGCCACGGTTTTCCCTGGCTATGGCTCTCGCTTTGGCACCGAGTATATTTCCAATCCATGTTAGATCTAATATACAAAAGCTACGAACTGACGATAAACTCTAGATATATTTACTGCTTGCAAAACTCTATTTACATGTTAATTACGCTGCAGTTGAATCGCCAGTGGCTATGAAAGGTGTTGTTGTACACTATTTATAGATTCCTATAGACTCCTTCTAGCTCGTGGTATTTGTAGAAGCAAAACGGCTCAGCTATACTGAGCTTGGGGTCTCTATCATCAAGATAGTCAATCCAATATCCACGAAAACACCTGGTCCCTGCCATACCAAAAAGAAAGGCTTCCCAGGATTTGTGCCCCACCCATTTCCAAGAAGCACATCAATACATTGGTTGGCCTATACTGCACCATAGCGATAAATATCAAGGGTTTTGTAGTCCAATTTCTTTCCCGTGTTCCCTATACTATCCTCCTTGCCCATTATAGCTTGGGCTAACCGTAATTTGTTGGTTTTTGAATAAAGGGAGTGGAGGCTGGAAGGTAGGTGTAGTGGGAAAGGATGTGAGCGGCGGCCGACCAGGTAAGTAGGTGGAAATGAGTTGAATCCTTGGTGTAAAGTGAAGTTAAAGTCATGGAGAAGTGCGTTATTATGTGTTCGGGCGTTGGGTCGGATAAATTTAGCTCGGTAGGAGGTGTGTTTAAGGACTTAATAGGCATGTGAGCTGTGAGCCTGTGGCCGCTATCGGATTCTGTAGCTGAGATCTAAATGAAGAACTCAAAATAAATTTCATTGCAAAGATTCTGAGTCCTAATACTAGTAGTAATCGATCATCCGGTCGCACTCCATCATTAGCTACAACCCATTCTGTAAATATTTCCAACGTCACTGTGAACATAGACCATTCTTTCTTCTTTCCTGCTCATCTTCAGAATCCTTAGTGTCACGGTGCTTTTTGCCTTGCCCTCTCTCCGGTTCCCTTTCAAGTCTATCCTAGGCTAGCCTATCTTAATCCCACTTACATGAGTCCGAGGTACTAGCATCATCTTGGACTTTGATGCCACCTAACCAGAAGTGTGTGGTAGCGCTGGTGCCCCAAATGCTGAAATAAAAGCTGATGGTTTCGGGGTTTCAGGAATACCCAAGGAGGGATTGGGTGTATAAGATAGCGCCGGTGCCCCGAAAGCTGGAGTGAAGGCTGATGTACCGTTGCCAAGTAGTGGAGAAACATGTCCAGGGAAGAGCTCATTAGATATCGTTGGTGCCCCAAAAACTGGAGTGAAGGCTGATGTACTGTTGCCAAGTGGTGTAGAAACAGGTCTACCGAAAGCTGTCACTCTCTGGGGAACAGGGGAGAGCTTGGGTGGCGAAACAGGTCTACCAAAAGCTGTCACTCTCTGGGGAACATTGTCAAGAGAGAGCTTGGATGTTGCGGGCAGTGGAAAACCACCGAGGTTGAGGCTACTCTGAGACAGAGGAGCTGGGGCCCCAAAATCCAAGACGGGGGCAACACTGCTTGCCAGAAAACCTGGTAGGAAGCATAACTTCAAGCAGTGGGGACAGGTGAAGGCTTGCTTTTGTATATCGGTAAGCGTAAACCCATTCATCTTTTCGAGTCTTCTGTGTTATCTATTCCAAGCTCGTCAGTACATCACTTTTTATACATAATGCTCATCTGGGACTGAAAATTAAATTGATTCTTTGGGCCATGATTACCTGGTGACCATGTTTTCCATCTTGAGCCACGGTTGTCCCTGGAACCATACCTTTTCTCCTTTAGATTAAATGCAGCAGCAATTTTCAAGTTTAGTTGCCTTTTAATGGTAGATTATAGGTCTGATACTACCTAGTACAGCCGTGAAGCTAATCAATATAGTACCTAGGATCCTTCCAAGGTTGAATCCTGTAGTTCCAAAATTCACCCGCTTAGGTAGATTACTATTTTTAGGCTAGTATAACCTTAAGCCTTCTACCTTATTTATTATAGTGTATAATAATCGGTTAAAAATACTAACTGATAAAAGCTATAGCACTAATGCATAAAAAGGCCTATTAAAGCCTGTTAATATATCTCAAGATGTGTCATATTCACGATTGAATTAGAAAGTCATTGCCAGATGGGTCTTGCAATTGATGGTCTAGGGGTTACAGTTTATAAGGCATCGATATTGCCACTGGCAGTACTAAAGTGCCTGGTTTAGGCTATGTGACCTCATCACGAGGCACATTCAAGTAAAAGTAACAGCTAGGTATCAGTGGATCCCAGATAGCGTTAAATAATGACTTGCTCTTGTTGCCATTATCAGGTCAACCCAAAAGGACTGATATTAGCTTCTTTGAATATTCCAGCGGTTTCAAGTTTCTTCTCCATTAAAAGTCTAGGTTTGTGTATTGCAAAATAATATAGGAAACTATATTTTCACCCGCCTGGCAGATGTCCTGACTCCCAATGATTAGCGTCCCAATGGCCACATGGGTGTACACCGTGTACATAGCATCACCTGGTACTATTTTTACCCCTCCCTTCTTTCTACTCCGCCACCTCCTGATAATTAGATAGGCATTGGTACTTACACTGCCCAAAACCTTCCTGTTATTTGAATCGTACCAGCCCCCAATATATTACGCATTATTCTTCATTCCCGGTCTAAAGGTCTCCTGATCCCCTTCATCGACATCTGGACCGGATCTTTAATGTCCTGAATGTTTAGCAAATCCAATACTTCATCCGATAATTAGCAAATATCTCTTTAGTCACTAAGACTCACTCAAAAAGCATTTTTCTATCCACAAATTACAACCGGAATATACCCCCTGCTGCAGTATACCCGGATGCTTCATTGTGCCTGGAGAGATTCTCCATTCTATCCGCCACCTGGTGGAGGTGCACAATTTTACAATGTGAACCTTTATTCTACCTGGTATATCTATATCAGGATAAAAAAGAGCGAACTAGTACTTGCGTTCTGCTTACGTTCTTCTTCGCGATTTATGTTCTACTTATATCTTCTTGTATGCGTTTCTCCTCTCTACTTCAGTTCCTTTCTTCCCATTACTTGCTGCTTTCTTTTCTCGCCTTATATCAGATTGTCTTGTTTTGTATATAGTCTGAATGCTCGGTGCAATAGGTTCGCAAGTCTCATTATATACCTATAGATAGAGGCCGGATGGTGTAGTTGGTTATCACGTGTCGTTAACAAGTCTCACGACTTCTTGTTCCGACAAGGTCCTCGGATCGAGCCCGGGTCTGGTCACTTTCTTTTTGTGTTTTCCTCGGTTGTGAGGGAATAGGGTGCCAGGTTGGCTGTGCATGACCATTTGGATAACGTAAGCCACGGCCGTTCCGATCACCCCATCAAAAATCCCGTCTTTCAGCCAAAACATTTACTTCAAGCCGCTGCCATGCCACCAGTTCGTTCCAAATCTCGGCAAAAATTAACCAACCAAGAGGGCAGGATCTTATTGGCACTGGAAGATTTAAAAAATTGCCGTATCACCTCTCTCCGCGCAGCAGCGAAGCTCTATGAGATACCCTACACTACACTCCATGCGCGCGCGCATGGCCTATCTTCATGGCATGATAAGCGTCCATCTGGCCATAAATTGACTCAACTAGAAGAAGATTCGCTTGCTGAGTGGATAATCTCTATGGATACACGTGGAGCAGCACCTAGGCTATCTACTGTAGGAGAAATGGCTAATATCCTTCTTGCTGCGCGTGGATCAACCTCTTCTTCTACCGTTGGTGTTAATTGGCCGTCAAGCTTTATTAAGCGTCGAAATGAGCTCCGTACACGTATCTCAAGACGCTATGACTATCAACGTGCTCTAAATGAAGATCCAAAGATCATACAAGAGTGGTTTACCACTGTCCAACGTGTGATTGATGAGACGGGCTTTGCAATGGGCCTCATTTCAACACAGACAGTTGTAACACGACAAGAATACTACGGTCGGCGATCTATTTTACAACCTGGAAACCGTGAATGGGTGACAGCAATTGAAGCTATCTGTGTAGATGGCTATTCATTACCACCATGTGTGATTTTTAAGGGAAAGGTTGCCGTTGCTAGTTGGTTCGATAACCTCCCAAAAGACTGGAGATTCGAGGTCTCAGCTAATGGCTGGACTACTGATGAGATTGGTTTACGATGGCTAGAAAAGCTATTCATCCCATCAACAAATTCATGTGTCCGTGGTCGCTTTCGGCTGTTGATTCTTGATGGCCATGGAAGCCATCTTACACCTCAATTTGACCGAATCTGCACTGAAAACAATATCATTCCGCTCTGTATGCCTGCACATTCATCACATCTATTACAGCCATTGGATGTTGGCTGTTTTGCGGTATTGAAACATACCTATGGTCGCTTTATAAGTGATCTTGCACGTACAGGCTATAACCATATCGATAAGCTTGATTTCTTAGCTGATTTTCAACGTGCCCGGCTTGAAGCTTTTCAACCAGCTACTATCCAGAATAGCTTTATAGCTACAGGATTAGTACCAATTGATGCTGAAAAAGTTCTTTCTAAATTGAAATTTTCGCTACGAACACCTACACCACCAGGTACTCGACCAGGCAGCCGAAGCAGTCAATTTTCACCTAAGACACCTAGAACTGTGGTTCAGCTTCAAAGGCAAGCTTCAATGCTTAAAGATCTTCTCAAACAGCGATCTAATAGCCCTCCAAGCCCATCGAAATTGATGCTAGATCAAATCATTAAGGGCCACTATATATCGCTACATAACACAGCGTTACTAGCACAAGAAAACGCCAATTTACGTGCAGCGAACGAGAAGAAACGACAGAAGCGTAGTCGATCAACTAGGCAGGTGCCATGTGAACAGGGCTTGACTGTTGAAGAAGGCCTGCAGCTACTCACGCAGCTAGAATTGCCAGTAGAAGCACCTGCGGTCGAACCACACACCCAGGTTGAATTGCCTATTCAGCCGAATCAGCCAGCCCCCAGGGCTCAGCCTAGGTGTAGTGGATGTCGAGAGGTTGGCCATCGGATCAATGTATGTAAAAATCGTATTTATAACTGAATTTATTCGCATTGGGTTGAAATATTTGAATTTGAATTTGTCTAATGGTGGTGGGTGCGCAGCTCGACCGGGAATCACGTTAACGTAAGCCACGGCCGTTCCGATCACACGGCCGTTCCAATCACCCACCCCACTAGAAATTTTTTACATTCGATTATCTCAACCAACACTAATAAATTCAGCTAAATATACCGATTTTTACATACATTAATTCGATGGCCAATCTCTCGACACCCACTACACCTAGGTGGAGCCTTAGGGGCTGGCTGATTCGGCTGAATAGGCAGTTCAACCTGGGTGTGTGATTCGATTACAGGTGTTTCAACAGGCCTTTCCACCTGCGTAAGTAGCTGTAGGCCTTCTTCAACAGTCAAGCCCTGTTCACATGGCACCTGCCTAGTTGATCGACTACGCTTCTGTCGTTTCTTCTCGTTCGCTGCACGTAAATTGGCGTTTTCTTGTGCTAGTAGCGCAGTGTTGTGTAGCGATATAAAGTGTCCCTTGATGATTTGATCTAGCATCAATTTGGACGGGCTTGGAGGGCTGTTTGATCGCTGTTTTAAAAGATCTTTGAGTATTAAAGCTTGCTTCTGAAGTTGAACCACAGTTCTAGGTGTTTTGGGTGTAAATTGACTAGATCTGCTGCTTGGTCGGCTACCTGGTGGTGTAGGTGTCCGTAGAGAAACATTCAATTTAGAAAGAACTCTTTCAGCATTAATTGGTACTAAACCAGTAGCTAAAAAGCTATTCTGGATAGTATGTGGCCGAAAAGCCTCAACACGTGCGCGTTGGAAATCAGCTAAGAAATCAAGCTTGTCGATATGGTTATAGCCTGTACGTGCAAGGTCGCTTATAAAACAACCATATGTACGTTTCAACACTGCAAAACAACCAACATCTAATGGTTGTAATAGATGTGATGAATGTGCTGGCATACAAAGCGGAATAATATTATTCTCTGAGCAGAGCCGGTCAAATTGAGGCGTAAGATAGCTACCATGGCCATCAAGAATTAATAGCCGAAATCGACCACGGACACGTGAATTTGTTGATGGGATAAATAGCTTTTTTAGCCATCGTAAACCAATCTCATCAGTAGTCCAGCCATTAGCTGAGACCTCAAGTCGCCAGTCTTTTGGTAGGTTATCAAACCAACTAGCAATAGCAACCTTTCCCTTAAAAATCACACAAGGTGGTAATGAATAGCCATCTGCACAGATAGCTTCAATTGCAGTTACCCATTCACGGTTTCCAGGCTGTAAAATAGTACGTCGAACATATTATTCTTGTCGTATAACAACAGTCTGTGTTGAAATAAGGCCCATTGCAAAGCCTGTCTCATCAAAGTTATAGATGTCTTCAGGTTGGATCCCGTTCTCATCAATAACTTGTTGCACAGTTGTAAACCATGCTCGAATTGATTTAGGGTCTTCGTTTAAAGCACGTTGATAGTCATATCGCCTAGAGACACGTGTTCGAATCTCATTACGTCGATTGACAAAGGTTGATGACCAGTTCTTGCCAACTGTAGGTGGGGGGTGGCTACCACGCGCAGCCA